CCAGTTTCCACTGCTACTTGTGAACGTGCAGCAGTGTAAATAGTGAAGAATAGACTGTGAAACAAAATTAATGATGAATTTCTTGCTGATAGTTAAGTTATTTATATTGATAGAGTGATAGCTAAAAGTTTTATTTAAGATGCTACTTTGAGTGATTTCAATGATCTCAAAGAAAGTCGTGTACTTCTAAAATAATTATAAAATATTATTTTAGTTTTTTATTTAATTATTATTGGCCCTCCGGTCTCGAACTCCTGGCTCCGCCCCTGATGGTCTTGTCCAAATATCAATTTTGTCTATCTATCTTGGTATTTATAAAATTAATAGAAGCAATCAGTGGTGGAGCCAGAAATCTGAATGAGAGGGTTGGCTTTGAATTGTGATAATCGGGGAGGGGGGCTAAGGCCTTCGTGACTAGTATATTTACTAAAATTATACAAATTTTACATGTAAATTCACCTATATTTCAAAGTTGAGAGGGCTATAGCCCACTTGAATATAACCAAAACTCCGCTACTAGAAACAATGATCATGTAACGTCATATTCGATATGATCCTATACAAACATCAATTTGATCCGGTTCCGTAACAAGCACAAGTGTGCACACCCCTACCCGAAATCCCAATCCAATATAAGATTATCTAGGTGACTTCTACGGTACCCCGGGTAAAATTCGAGGTACGGGTACCTTGGCCGATCTTAACCATTCATTCTCAATCTCCACGCGTTTGTTGAACCTAATTGCGCCACTAAATAACTAAACAAATTACAAAAAACCTCCTTACGCGTTAAGATTGTTTTCATTCTAGTCCAACTAACTGCTCCGATTAAATTAAATGAAGTAAGACTGCAAACCCAATTGGGTAGACCCACTTATAGGTGTCAAAACATGACCCGACCCGAGTAACTTGCCCAACCAACCCGATCCGCGACCCGCCCGCAACCCGATTGGACTAAGAGTCAAAGACACGCAACCCGCCCGACCCGCAATCCGCTTGACCCGCAACCCGCTTGACCCGCAACCCGATTGACCCGCAACCCGATTGACCCGCAACCCGCTTGGCCCGTAACCCGACTAACCCGAACCCTATTAACCCAACCCGAACCCGCCCGATTGGCACGAATAATACTACATAATATATTTTTGTGCATAAATATTATATGTATATAATATATATAAAGTTTACTTGACTTGCCCTATTATTTTTTCATCTTTCCCACCAAGAACAAAGGTTTACTTTGTGTTGACAAATGACAACTCTCATTATATTAAATCACATATTAGTCTCACTGTCTCGGTAAATTGAATCACATAATACTTTCTGGTCTCTCTGCCTTTTAGTTGAATCAAATAAACAACAAGTTCAAATTGTAACAAATCAATTACATGGACTAGCTGGCTTATGTGCTTGTCTTTCCCATCTGAGGGACACAGTTCAAAGCCCAATAGAGACATATTTTTTTAACTTGTTTTTGTATGTCAACTTATACATAAAATTCACTTAATATATAACATAGTTAGTAAAATATGGTACGAGAAAGTTACGTATAAAATACTTACGGGTATTATACTTCGTCTCTTAGGTAATGCTACGTTTAATAGTACGTTAATAGTAATAAATATATAAAACTAATTACTTTTATAAATAAATCAATATGTAAAAATATTAAAGTTAATAATACATAAAATTCACTTAATGTATAGCATAGTTAGTAAAATATGGTACGAGAAAGTTACGTATAAAATACTTACGGGTATTATACTTCGTCTCTTAGGTAATGTTACGTTTAATAGTACGTTAATAGTTATAAATATATAAAACTAATTACTTTTATAAATAAATCAATATGTAAAAATAGTAAAGTTAATAATTCATTTCATTAACTACGATGAACAGAGAAGGAAAAAAAGGAGAACGAAGCGAAGAGAACGAAATGGTACAAATAAGGGGTTTTTCTTATTTTGATCTTTTTATTGTTGTATATATGAAACCGGAAATGCGAAAGTTGGACGGGGAAGAGAAAAAGTTGGGCGGAAAGCCAAAACCAAAGTGAAATTTTCCCCCGTGAATGAAATACTAGGCGCCCAATTTCCCTCCTAAATTTTTGCGAAATCTCATATAGATAAGTTGCTAACTATTTAATCAATAAAAGTATAATTTTTACATTATTCATGGTAATTTTACCGTAATAATCTATTAATCACGGGAAATAAAAACTCAAAAATAGATTTGCAAATTCCCGCGACTAGAATGATACAATTAATTACTGTGATTTTTCCCGTGATTCTTTGTATACTTCTTAGTACGAGAAACAGTCCCGTGACCAGAATCCCGTGACTAGAAATTGATTTTCCTGTAGTGATATACGGTAGAGGACTCGTGGTTTAGAGTTTGGAGTCATAGGACATATGTTCTTCTCAATAACCAAATATAAAATTGACTCAACTTACATTCTTCACATAACATACGTTGTAGCTTATTCCAACAATTTCATAACATATAACTATAGTAAAGGGTATAGCCGTATAGGGTCATGGTTTAGAGTTCATTGTTTGCATGTTTGGGTTATGGAATTATGGATAAGGGTTGAGGTTAGTTTTAGGGTTAATTACTTAATGTTGTGATTTAGGATAATGTATGGTTGATGGTTAAGGTTAGTTTTAGGTTTCATATTTAAAATGGTGTTATAGGGTTAGGGTTTAGAGTTAGTGTTTCTTCATGGTTATGCTTGTGATAGATATTTTGTTTTTTATAGTTTATTAATTAATTTGATTTTAACAATTAATTTAAATTGTGAATGTACATCTTAAATATATCATATTCAAATGTACATCTTAATTTGATTTTGTAAACCCCAAATATTTGAGGAAACAATCATTTTTAACCCCCAAAATTTGGTCCAAAGTTCCCTCCCCAAACCCGCAAAAGAAACGTTTGAATTTGAACCCCCCAAATTTGTCCCAAAATTCCCTCCCGCCCCCCTTTTCTGTAACCAAATATATTAACTCTTGCGTCTTGAGATCGCCGACCTCCACCATCGCTCAAAGTTTGTCCATCAATCGCACATCAATCTGATTGAGCTCTCCTGCCCCTTCTTCGAGTCCACTGTCCTTACCCAGACTACCTTCTTCTCGCATCAATCAACCCTAGAAAGTCAAATTAGCCTTTCTTTTCTTATCATAAGAGCCTTCATATTTTAGATAGAGGATTACCTTTGAGTTTTTTTTTAAATTGTATGTTATTTACCACTGATCCAGAAATGATATTTGTATCGGTTGTATTCATATTAATGTTAGAATCTAATGTTACAAAGAGTTCGTATTTTCAATTTTCATGTTAATATATGTATAGTGGATATATGACTAGCGGTTTATAATTAGCTACGCGAAAATGCAGTGCTATATATTAGTATGGAAGTTAATAATTTGTAGATGAAGTTGAGTAAGGAATATTAAAAGCGTGTGTTACCATATAAAATAAGAATGAAAGTTAAATTATACTAGAAAGCATGAATAAGCACGAATGTGAACAAAATAAAAGCACGACATAGACATGATCAGGCACGGCACGACTTGACTCGTGCTTGGGCCCGAGCCGGGCCTAATAAAACTGTTAAATGGGCTTGTATGGCACGACACGAAATTTAATGGGTTGTGCCTAGCACGGCACGAACAATATGGGCACGAGATGGGCCCGTGCCGTGCCGGCCCAGCGCCCATGTACAGTCTCAACTCTCAACTATCAAGATTCAAGAGATGGTTTCATAGGTTTATGATCAAACAAATTGTCAGCTTTTTAATTTCTTGTTGTTCAACTATTTATTAATGTTGGTTCTGTAACCTTAATGAATCCTCTAAAAGGTACCAACAACTAGCAACATCAAACTTGTTTATGATATATTCAAGCAAAATCTAGTCATTCATTTGTTTAATAATGTACATTCATGTTTTATTCATTGCAATATGGTGATAGGTGAGTTTGTTTTAAATTAGTGTAATAACTCCCTAAAAATAGTATAATAACTAATTATAAAAAAACTCGATGGTGTGGACCGAACAACCCGCAACCCGACCTGTTGTAACCCGCAATTCGATCAACCCGAACCTGATTGATCCGCAACCCGATCAACCCGTAACCCGACTGATCCGCAACCCGATAAACCCGCAACCTGATCAACCCGAACCCGCTTGACCCACAACCCGTTTGACCCGCGACCCGACTGAACCCGACCGAACCCGCCCGATTGACACCTATAGACCCACTGCCGCCCTAACCAATTTCCAGTCTCCCTAACCAATTACACGATCCCTCACTACTCTTGGAGGGACGCCCCTTCACAGTTCCAAGAGAAGCTCCCCATCCAATTTGAACTCCCTAACATAATCATCTTTTTGAATCCCAATTAATTTCTTGCATCCACATTCGACGTAGTTTGAATTTCCCCATTTCTTTTGTCTTGTTTGTTCTTCGCCATTTTATTTTCCCTCTCCTATCTCTTTCTAACACGATTACGGTGACCATGTCTATTATTGTGTTCATCAAACTTTTCATTTTACTAACATGAGGGTTCATGTCGCTAGTGCTTTGTCATCTTGTCTTACCGTTATTATCATTTTCTCGAAACTTCTATCTCTCAGTGAAATTAAGGTTTCCTGATATGTAGGGATCGTCTCGCCCAGAGGATTGAGGAAGAAGATGAATAAGAAAGAATTTGATTCAAATCGGATGGAGAGGTCGCCTTAACTTGTGTTTATGTATTAACGGTGCGTTTAGGACTAATTTTAGTTGGACTAGGATCCGTATTATTTCTGGGTCTGATCATTGATTTTTGCAGGCTTTTAAATAACTTTCAAAAGTGGTCTTGTACATAATCCATGAAATATTCAAAAGTGGGCCTGGAACGTGTGAGTCCATTTCATTTCTCTTGTCGTATCATATGTTTGTTCGGCCTCAAAGAAGTTATAAAACTAAGAGGCTACGGCCATTGATTCCTGCGCCAACCCTAGTTTAACTAGCATGACTTACCCTAGTTTAACCTACACGAGTTACCATCATCATTACATATCTTCCGTAATCTTCTCAACTCTTGACATTCCACTTACCTCCACAGTCCACCGTCTCCATCACCCTCACGTCTCCAGACTCAACCCCCCACGATCACTTTTTCTTACACCTACATTCTCTCTCTCTTCCGTCTTCACCTTCCCCTAGTTCCTTCTTCCTCCATACTCAATGTCAAAGAACAGTCGATCATTTGCGGAGATGGGGATACTTTCTTCATCCAACGACGACTTTCGATCCACCTCCAATATTGGTGACTATCTCTCGTTTTCAAGCAAAACTACCATTGTCGCCGAGTACGAGTTCATCTACCTCAGTCCTTTTCCTCCCGAAGTGAAGACATTAATAAAAAATCTTGGTTGGGAAAATTTCTTCGTTCTCCGAAGTCGAGAAAGCACAAGTTACTACCCCCATGTCTTGAGGAAGTTCTACCACAATCTAGAGCTTTCTGGTCCCTCTGATTCTCATCTGGTGTCGATCTTCCTCGGACATAGAGTCTGCTTTCAGCCTCATCAATTTGCTGAGATCCTTGATCTTCCCGCTGGAGGAGACCCCATTGAGAGAAAAAGCGATCTTGCGCGGCTGCACGATTTTGAGTTTGAAGTTGAACTGTCGAAACTCACGAAGGGGCGCATCCAGGCTTCTTTCCTCCCCGATCCTCTTCGATTCCTCCACTGGTTGATTGTCAACTGCTTCCTTCCAAGGTACCGTGGTCATTCCATTATTCGTAAACTTGACTTGTTTGTCCTTGTGCAAGCTCAGAGAGGTGTTCCTGTTAACCTCACATCTCTAATGTGCCTGAACATGGTCGAAGCTGCTCCCAAAGGGGAAAACTGGTATACTGTCTTTCCCTATGCCACCTGCGCCACCACCTTTCTTGAAAGGGTTGGGATGGATCTGAGTGTTTATGTTAAGGAGGACCATTCTGCTTATTTGCCGGTGTACCGTATAGCTGAATTGACTAATACTTTTTCTTGCGAATCGGCATACGGAGCATCAAGAGACCCCTGAGGCCTCCTCAAGCAAACGTCCTCGGCTTGCACGAGAGTCTTTTGTTATCAAGTTTACTAAGTCTTTGTTGGGTTTTTTTTAGTCTTTTGTCTTTTCCTTTATTCTCCAGTACTCAAAACTGTCAGGTACTGAGGGGAGCCAGTACATCATCTGACTAGGAAAGTATCCTATTTTGATTTCTGGAATGTCCAGACCTGGAATTTTCTATGCATGCAGTATTTTCTGAATTTGCCATGGCTAGGATCACTAAGACAGGTGATGAGATGCAGTAATGTTCATCTCCAATGGTGCAATTTTAGTGACTTGCAAGATGATGTGGCAAGGAGGTGCAATTGCAACTTTAAATTTCATTGATGTGGGAAGCTATTGCAAGGGTGCAAATTTGCATCATGTGCAATTCTTCTTGCAATCCAAATGGACCCGCTGGTGGGCCCTTTTTTACTTTTTATTAAAGATTTTAGATGATGGAGATGATATATAAATTGTTTAGTAGTGGTAAATTAATATGTTGGTCTCACTCATTGAAATTGCAATTGGATTTCATTGTTGTAGAGAGGATAAAGTTGAGAAGTGGTGTTTTCTCAAAATTGTAGAAGTGGAAGTAGAGACTACCTATGAAATTGCAAATGCCTTTCATTGGGGGAGATTTTAATCCGCTTTTGTTCACAGGCTGTATCCTCTACCTTCCCCCATATAGCAAGCTTATCCCGAGTGTAGAGTCTATCCAACATGATAAGCCATAAGATCAAAGCATGTTTAGGAATAAAAAACTTACCCCAAATCAACTTCGACCAAGGGACTTCATGTTTAGAGGAACGGATAGAAAACCAGACCTTTTTCACAGAGAATCTCGACATAGGCTGCCCTGACCAGCGCAGGGACCCAGCATCACCTGTGATATATTGATGAGCCTCCTCCCTCGCCTTCAGTATCCGCTTCCAGACCCACGAACCCACCGAGGTTGGAGAAACCTCCCAAATGGTTTTTGTCCTGAGTCTGTACTTCCTGATCCAAGCAACCCAAAGAGAGCCACTGCCAGCCAGAACTCCCATATGTGTCTTATAACACAGGCACGGTTCCAAACCCTAAAATCTTTCACACCAAGCCCACCTTCTGTTTTCAATGCTATAACATGCTCCCAAGCAACCAACGCTTTAGCTCATGTACCATTTCCCCCCACACCCCACAGAAATCTGTTACAAATAGTCTCAATTTCTTTCAACACACTATGAGGGAGAAGGAACACACTCATCCAATACTGCAGCACACTGGATATCACCGAGGAGACAAGTTGGATACGACCAGCATAGCTTAGGGACTTTGAATTCCAACCACGGATCCTTGCAGTGATCTTTTCCACTAATACCTGACAATCAGTTTTGGACAACTTCCCAGACAGAAGTGGCATACCCAAATACTTGACTGGGAATGTACCCAGTGGAAACCCTGTTGAACCAGCAATAATAACTTGATCCTCGAATGGAACCCCGCCAAAGAAAACCTGACTCTTATCTGGATTACATTTTAACCCAGAAAGAGAGTAGAAGTCCTACAGCAATTCTTTAATCCCCTCCACTGCCTCAAAAGAGCCATCAGAAAACACCAAAAGGTCATCTGCAAATATCAGATGTGAAATATCCAGACTCTTACAACATGGATGATAAGGCAACTGCCCCTCTGCATTTGCCTTTGCCAACAAACATGAAAAGACTTCCATTGAGATGACAAACAGATATGGGGAAAGCGGGTCCCCTTGCCTAAGGCCTTTCTCCCCTGGGAAATAACCACACAACCCCCCATTCAAGCAGACACTGAACATTGGGGAAGAAACACACACCCTAACTCTTTGAACAAACCAGTCTGGAATACCCATATCAGTCATAACCGTAAAAAGGAAAGACCAATTAACTGAATCAAACGCCTTCATTAAGTCAATCTTGACTACACATCTAGGGGCAATAGATGTTTTATTATAGTCCTTAACTAACTCTGACACCATGAGAATGTTATCACAAATTAGTCTTCCTTTTATAAAAGCAGATTGTGAATGACTAATGAGGAGTGGGAGGAACTTTGATAGTCTATTAGCTAGAATTTTTGTAATGCCCTTATACAAGACATTACAACAAGATATGGGTCAGAAGTCTTTCATACGTTCAACGTTCTCTAGCTTAGGAATCAAAGTGAGAATTGTGGAATTGAGTTTCCTAGGTAGAATACATGTCTCAAAAAAGTGAAGAAGAGCATCCTCCACATCTTTCCCCACTACTGACCAGTCCTCCTTGTAGAAATCTGCAGGGTAACCATCCGGACCCGGGGCTTTGTCTGACGCCATAGCAATAAAAACATATTTTACCTCATCACGAGTAACCTCCCCCTGTAACTCCCCTGCAGCTTCTGGTGGTAACCTGTACCTGAGTAGAGCTTCATAAAATTCCACTGGCTTCTCCTTTACATCCCTATTAACCTTGCCAAGCAAAGATTTATAGAAATCCACAGCAACCCCCCCCCCCCCATCTGCTCTACATCAGTGACTATAGAACCATCCTCTATCACTAGATGATCTATAGTCTGTCTTTTGTTCTTGATTCTGACATAGTTGTGGAAGAACCCTGTGTTGGAGTCACCTCCCAAAACCCAAGACATCCGAGACTTCTGTCTGAAAAAACTTTCTTCAGCAGCCTATGCTTCAAAACATTTCTGGGCCAATATTGATTCTCTCTCAACCTTCTCTTCAGTAGGTGCCCTGAGAACATCATCTTGAGCAGCAGCCAGATTGACCTCTGCCTCCCTTGCTTTATCAGAAATGTCAATAGAATGATTTTAAAAGGCTTGATTATAATGAATTTTTATCTATGGTGATTTTTTCCCCTTTTTCATCAAGAATCATGCTTCTTTTATTCCCCCGGTGAATATATCATGCTTTGTTTATAGTAAATATACCCTTTTAATTATACACAATAAAAAATTCATTAATTATGTAAGCCTTTTTTATCGTATTTATTAATACAATGAATTCTCTCACTAAAAGGGTAGTTAATACATCGTTGGTGGAAATTCAAGAAATGGAAGCATTTCCATATCCTAGGAACATTAAATTAATTACCTAGGATTTTTTTATCTGCCTTGTACGGGTTTTCGTCATTAATTATGCTGATTGGGAGCCAATCAGTTTTACTTTTTGGGTTAACCAGACATCAATGCAAATTTAATTAGACGAGGACAATTAGGAATGAAGTGGAATGATATGATCTCAATTAGACCTCTGTACAAGATACAATGGCTTGAAACAGAAGTAACCTCACTCACAAGTTGGAAGGTGGAATTTTGGTTAAGTCCCTTTGCCATTTCGGGTAGCTCACTTTGGAAGCCTGTTCGTCACGCATGGCTCGATGAAAATGGGAGTTTATTGATTTGTATTGAGCCTGGGATGTTTGTAAACACCTGGGATTACTTGGGAGCTGGAGATCAAGTCCAGAAGGTCCATTTTCAAGTTGTGCAAAAGTGTAACTGGAAAGCTGGAAACTGCCAGTTTTTGGCTAAGGCGGTAGCCATGTTCAAGCTAGATACTTTGAGACTCGATTCGGAAGGGATGGCTGCGAGTCTAGTTCCACGATTTGAACCACATCAAAATACATGATTCAGAGTACAATGTTGAGGAATTGGTTGAGTGATTTGGACCTTGGAAGCCTTCGAACGAAGAGTCCAAAGATCGCGTCGAGGCTGCATTTTCTGGCGTTGGAAGCAAGTAATCCGAATCCTTGTAGGATTAGGATTCCTAGACTGTTTTGTGTTTGAGTTCTTTCCTTGTTTGTTTTGGGTTCTATTTCGAGTTATAATAGGATTAGGACGGCTTACCTTGTTCTGTAAGCTAGCTAGGTCTATTTAAGAGTTGTTTTGCGTTGTAATTCATTCAAGTTTTAATAGAATAAAACCGTTTGCTCATTGAGTTTACCTCGTGAATATGTCCTTGGTTTGATTGGATTAATTCCATCGATCGAGCGAGTTCTGCATCAATTGAGTAGCCACCTTAATTGTGGACGAGTTGTGACTTGCCTACTTGGCAAAGGGATTTAAAAGCAACCTCCTTTCCAAAAATTCAATATAGTTTCCACGAAAAAATAAATATAGAAAGCATTCACCAAACCAAAAATGATTGTCCATCATCTTGAAAAACAAAATATAAAATGGTTGTCCATCATCTTGAAAAGAAAACGCAAAATCAGGTTGTTCTTGGGCTCTTCGACTGGGTTTCCTTGTGCTCTTCTCTTTCCTTTTTCCTCCTTGCATGGGATTTCTTGTACTCTTCGACTGCAGCTTCAAGTTGAGGTGCAGCTGTTCTTGCTTCCGTGAGCACCGTATGCCTTATGTAGTTCATGGGCGCTCGAACAAGGTACAAAGCGATCTGCATCCTCCTCACTTGAGTGCATGGCTATCAACATCAACAACCATGGGGCTTAACGCATGATTCAAAAATAACAAACTAGTGTGGTTTTCAAATATGCGAACTAGAATTGTCTTTACCCAAATATAAGAGGAGTCCCAGCTTGCGCCATACATCCACATGCAGACCCAGACTCCACTGTCAGACCTACATAAAATGAAAGCATTGCATGATAAACAAGTTGATAAGCCATCGTTTAATATCACACAATATGGAAATACTTACCGATGTAGTTGTTCTTGATCCTTTGAAGGATTTGTGTACGAAAACTCTGCAATCCTTGGTGGTGACAATCCCGAACCTTGTTCATGATAGAGAGTCTTCCACAAGGCTTGCATAAACCCCATATGTACAAATTAAGAAACATTTGTATTGAGAAAGAGGTATTTACATTTTTTTGCGTTATAACGGCACAGTGTCACAAATTTACCATTGTTTGAACAACTTGTAGTTGAAAGGAATTGCGGTCTTATGTTGGTTGTGGATCCTAGATATGGACTTCTTCCTTGTCCAACTTAATGACAGCCAAGTACCACTGGGCTTTATCCCTCATCGGAACACATACCTACATATGCGGAAATTGTCCACACGTATTAAAAAAATAAACTACAAACCGTGCAATACTTATTAAAAAACCAGAGGAGGCCCGTACAGAGTAGAGCGAGACAAACAGTTTACCTTGTTCACCATATTGGTTCGACTAAGGAATTTTGAAAACATGTGTTGTATTCGTTTGCTGACATGAAATTAATCTTAAGCAAAATTGGCCCACAACTGGTAGTTCAGCGGGCAGATAGCACACTCCTTTTCCGTCCTTAGAATTTGTCCACAACTCTTCTAGAGTCAAGTGACAGGCTACCGCTGTTATAACCTAATATAACATAGACAAAAAAACACTTCATGATACTATAGAATTTTTACAAAATATTTCTATGTATAAAGCATGTAGTGGACAAACAAAACAAAATTTTGGAGTTCTGTAGATTACTTCAGCATCTACAAATGAGCGAGGGCTGAAGGATCACAATGACTTCCTGGTACAAGAGTTGTTTGAAGTTTTGACCAATACTTCGTTGGGTGGCAGATTGGCTAAAAATATATAGTGAGCAAGCTGGATTTGCTCATCATCGTATCCCATACTAGTAGGTAGCTTAAACTTCAAAACGACCTGGAATAAGGACCACAAATAAACACGAGTCCAAATGAATTCGTTATGTCTGACGGAAGCACGGCAAAGAACAAACCTAACACTTGAATGGAAAATAGGTCACCTTTATTACCTTGTCAACAGAACTTAGGGAAAATACTTTTACAATTTGGTTTCTTTGGTGTTACCTCAGAGTCAGATTCATCGTCTGAAATAAAAACGATGACTGAAGTAGGAGTAGATGGAGTTGGCACACCTTTGGGTAGCCTTGGTTTCTTTGTTGGAGTCACAAATTTGCCAGTCTCCTCAATAACAGTGAACCTATGATTAATAAATTAACTAGAATGAATTTCAATGGTTAAAGCGCTATTAGACATACCACAAGTTTGGACGAAGAGCGAGTAATCCTCCTATTTTCCATGTTGTGCCTCTAAGCTTCTAGTCTATACTCAAAATTGCGGCAAAGAAGGGTATGGAACCACTGCTCTACCGCTGAAGATTAATTATATATACTAGGTTACAGGGATAAATTGTGGCGGCATATTTTTCCCGCGGAAAAATAGTTAGGGTTTAGTCTAAGGTACAAGAACTTGGGATAAACATTGGTAGTTATTAAACCTAAAAATAAAAATATATTTTGTTTTTCGATTGAATAAAAAATTAAGTGCTATTAGTAAATATTCGCTCTTATTCATATTTGATCATTCCTCATACACGTAGTACACATATAGAGTCAGTTGGCGTTTGGCTTTACTAAGCATTCCTTTTCATTTTAAATATTTTCTCCAGATACTGGAAATGGTAAAGAAATCACTAAGATAATAGAAAGTTCAAATAGTTCCTAAAAAAAAGATATCACAAATCGTGTTAAGATTCGGTTTAATGGGGATAATTATTAAGTGGCGCATTCAAGTATTAATTCGGCCATCATTCCCAGTAGGGTTTTGTAATCTACAGCGTTTGTTCCCCAAAATAAGTCGCAGTGACAATGGCGTCGGAGGCAGTCCCACCATTGACGTCGGAGCCAGTCCTACTATTGATGTCGGAGCCAATCCAAGAAAACGATGGGGCCGGAGCCAGTCACACCACCCAGGAAGATAATGTCGTCGATCTCATATCTCTACAACCTAAAGATATTAAAAAAATGAAGTTTGATAATACAGAAGAAGCCTATGATTTCTACATGGACTACGGGTTGGTCAAAGGCTTTGACATCAGAAAATCAGACATTGGTCATGATAAGAACCAGGTGATGATATGGCGAGACTATGTATGCTCTGGTGAGGGAAAGAGGCGCATGAAAAGCACAGAACGAAAGAGAGAAGCAAGAGGGGGAGACCAGATTTAACTGCAGAGCCAAGATGCGTGTTAAACACGACAAGGTCGATGGGAATTGGTATGTGCACCAGTTTGATGATGTACACACACATGAAATGATCCCTAGAGAATATAAGCACTACCTGAAAGGGAAACGTCGTATGAGTAATGCAGTCAAAGCAACGATAAATTTTAGAAGAGCTGCAAGCATGAAAACTTCTCAAATTGTGAATGTGGCCGTATCAGAAGCAGGAGGCTACGACAATTTGGGCTACACGAGGAAGGATGCATATAATTATGATGACAAAGAGAGGAAAGAACAAATCAGTGAAGGTGATGCCGCAAAAGCCCTAGCCTACCTACAAGCTAAATGCAGCGCGGACGAGCATTTCGTTATTGAACTAAAGAAGGATGACGACCGGCTTATTAACATCTTGTGGGCCGATAGTGTTTCTGTCGCTGATTATGCATGCTTGGGAGAATTACTGTCATTCGATGCTACTTACAAAAGGAACATTTACCAGATACCTCTCGTGATTTTTTCAGGAACATGTCCTTCGCACATACAATTATCCTGAGCATGCTAAAATAACCCTAGCAGTTTGCATAATCTAACTTATTTTGTACTTTTTTAGGTGTCAACCACCATTCGCAAACTTGCGTATTTGCATGTGCTTTCTTGGCTAACGAGAGAGAGGAAAATTATATTTGGGTGTTGCGAGCTTTGAAGAGAAGGCTAGGTGGTGTAGATCCCAAGACTGTTATTACAGATGGGGATAAAGCAATGTGTAATGCAATTCATAAAGTATTTCCCGATGCAACACATCTTCTATGTTCGTGACATATAGACAAGACTATAACCAAAAATGTGAAGAATCATCCTACTTTCTTTCCCCGATGGAAGCATTTTGTGTCAACTGATTGGGAACCTTCAGAATTCGAAGATAGGTGGAAATCAGTGGTTGACGAATGCTCCCTTCAGCACAACAATTGGATCTCCAATTTATTTGTGCAAAGACATGAATGGGGGTTTGCATATTTGCATTCGAAGTTCTTCGCAGGCTTGAGTACAACATCAAGATGTGAAGGATTGAACTCTCAACTTGCCAATTATATCGAAAAGGATAAAAATCTCCTTGAGTTCTTTATTCACTTTGATTGTTGGACTAGGGATATGAGGGAGAATGAGTGGCATGCTGATTTTGAATCCATTCATCGAGAACGAACCATCACAAGCAATGTCTTAGCCTCACTTCAGAAGATTGGAGCGGCGGTTTTCACAAAGAACGCATTCTTCTTATTCAGAGACGAGGTTGAAAAGTCGGCATGTTGCATAAGGGTGGAGTCAGAGCGATCGGAAATTGAGCGTGTGTACAAGGTCAAGGTGTCTGGCACGGATAAGGTTTTTCAAGTCACGTACATAGTTGAACCCTTTGCAATGGAGTGTAGTTGTAATCACTACGATTATATGGGAATACAATGTCGTCATATGATTTTTGTACTGAAAGAAGAGAGCATACTAGAACTTCCTGAAGGCCTAGTATGTCGAAGATGGTCAAAGAAGCCGAAGACACTAAAGAGCTTGGAGGAACCGGACATAATAGATGAATTGCAACTTTTTGCATTGAGGTTTGCCATGACTATCAAATTTAATTTATTTTTTTATATTCATAAAAGCTATGACTACATTACTTTTACTCACTTTGTATAAAACATTGTGTCAATCAGGTATGGTACTATTCAACAAAACAACTTACAACTAATGTTAAACGGGGCAAAATCTAGTGAGTGCTTCAAGATTGCTCGTAAGGGAATTCAATCATTATGTGAAAAGCTGGACATGGTGGACACTGGCAACGTGGACATACCCGGCATTAATAAACCGAGGCAAACGATATTTTGTTGGATCCATTACCGGTCAAAGCTAAAGGTTCGGGGGCTAAAAAATCTAAAAGGAATAAAGGAGACCCACGACAGTGTAGTAATTATGGGGAATGGCACCACTATAGGACCCGATGCCCACATCTTGTTGGCTGTGTGAAGCCATGTGAAGCCAAGCTCAAAAGGTGATGCCCCAAATGCTGGTGTTTTGGAAGAAGGTGGCGGTGGCGATGACACCGATGTTGATCCTCCCACCACTCAAATCAGTCGGAAACATTACCGAAGAGAAGGCAAAAGCATTGCAGTAAATGTGGTTCTACCTATCATAATGCAAGAAAGTGTACTGGGTCTGGGCCATCCGATGATAAAAATGACGATGATGTTGATTCTCACGACGATGACGAGAAACCTAGGGTAAGAATAAAAGATAATTGTTCGTGTCTACACAATGCAGTTGCATTCAATATTTTTGTCCGACTAAAATCGTCGTTGTCGATTTTGCAGAAGAGGCTTGTGACCAGAAATAGCAACCTAAGGACCAGAGATTTGGACACTTGAGTTCTTCGGAATGCGTGAAGACTTGAAATGAAGATGGAGGTCATTATCCTATTCTGATTAGGATTATGTGAAGACTGCCACTGTTAGCTTGAAGCGGCGTCGTTTGGTTTATAAGAAGACTACTACCTTCTGCGGTATCGTTTTATTTATGTGTCTATTTGGTTTATAAGAAGACTGCTGCATTTTGTGTTCTTCAATCGGATATCTTGCAATTAGATGTTTGTTGATTGAATTCTGAATAGTTTGGATGGATTTGATTTAATTCTATGGAGGTTGCTACCCTAAATAAATCATGTGCAACATTTCAGTTGAATAATTTTAAGCACTCGTTTTTTTATTGAATTATTATATCGTATTTTTTACTTGCTTATAAATTTATTTAATATTGGCTACTAAAATTATGAAATTAAAAATTTTATTTTCCATTTCACTTTATTATTTTATGCGTGAAATGACAAGACCATGCAGCGACAGAAGAGCATAGTTTAAAATCCGGAAAAAATATTGTTGGCCTAATCGTAAAAGACTTCTGAAAATGGAGTCAGCAATTAAGAAATAAACTACAGTGTTTTTATTGGGAGTGGAGGATCCCTCGCCGATCTATTAAGATCTCAAACACTAAAAGTACAAATCTTGAAAAACAAAACAATGTTCTCCGCCCCCCCCCCCCCCCCCCCCCCCTGTTTTATCCTATACATATGGCAACTTTCCCCTCTTGTATATATTTTCGGAGCATGATCAACAAGTACGCGTCAATATTGCACAAAAAAAACCACCATATGACGTAGGGTTCCACAACACCTATTATGGAATCATAACAACATATGATAATTTTTTCGGCAATATTCAGCCGGCGACTTATTGTCATTGCTCCCCTCTCTACCTCTAAAAAAGAGCATGTATGGAGAGAAAAGAAGAAACAATAAAACGAAGGAGTTAGTTTAACAGTCATGATCTAACAAGGACATAATGAAAGGAACTGAGATCTAAAATAATACGCAGTCTCATCTTTACCACTGCACCCGAAAATAAAGCATGGGACATGAGGATGAAGAGGCGGCTGGGGTTGATTTTTAGAGTTTCATATCGACAAAATGGGAGAAAGGGTTCTTTTCAGGGATTGAGAGGAGGAGGAACGAACAGCAGAGGGAGATGAGTGCCTCTCGGGTTTCGGAGCACGGTCTCTCCTTCACTGATTAACGAATTTATAAATGGACTTGTAAAATTACTTTGCCTTTTCCGCCCTTCCCATTTACTGAAAATCACACTCCCTACCACTGCCTTGGCCTTGGTAACGCCAGCACTGGTTATGGGAAAATACGACTTTCCGGAAACGGTGAAATCTTATGGGTGACACGCACGCGAAAAGGATCGACACTATTTCATCATTGGATTAAGGGAAAAGTTTAGGAATTCACGACGGGAGATGGGGATGTGCTTTTATGTTGATTGGGAGAAATTTAGACTGGCTTTGTAGATTAACTAACTTTTTTATTTAGCAAAATTACTCTATTGATCTAGTATATGTTATTGTAACTCTAAACCCTAATGCCCGAACTAATCAATACCATATACTCTACAACAACAACACCTTATACCCTAACCAATCAATACAATATATACTCTAAACCATCAACACCTTGCTACCTACCTTATACCCTAACTTCAATACCTTATACTCTAAACCATAAACACCTTAGACCATCTCCATCCCCAACTTTTAGCAATTGCTAAAGATGAGGTGGAGCTTAGATGGCAAAAACTTAGCAATGGTTAGGGATGGAAGAGTTCTTTCTAAACTAGCAAGATTGCTAAATTAGGAATTCTTCTAGCAATGCCACATAGATAACTATTTTCTTTTTCGATTTTATTGTTTATTAACTTTTCAATTGATAAGTGTTTGTGTAGCTTTGAAATAGTAAATGGGACCCACTTTGGCAATTGGTAGCATAATTTAGGGATGTAGATGACTAGAAATTGATAAGTGATGAATTGCTAAAATTGATGATGTGGCAGTAGGGACCATGTTTAGAAATTGCTAACCAATTTTAGGGATGGAGATGGTCTTATACTCTAACCCAATACCATATACTCCAAACCATCAACGCCTTATACCCTACCTAACCATATGCATATGCCTAAAACAATGAACCGTCAAAGATTGCATATCAAGTTTAGAAAAATGGTTGACTTCAATAATAACTCTACTCGGTTACATAAACCCTATACACTGAACCCCTTACCTTAACCATCAACACCTTATACAATAATCGTATACCTATACGCTCATAAAATTTTACATTTTGAAAATACTTGCCCAACTAGAGTACATAGGTACTTCAAAATTGAAATTCTAACTTTCTTTTCAAACCATAAATTAAAAATTGATCATCGCTAAGTATCGAACCACAAACCTCTACTTTATTGACTCAGCAACTAAAGGACAATTAACCAATTAAGCTACATGACATTTATGATCATCATGTGAAATTTCACTTTCTTATTAAGTGAAGGGTTAAAATGAACGATAAATATATCATAGGGGATTGTTTGTGCTTCGTCGGGGAGTGAGAGAGTGTAAAAGGGGGAATTAATGAAGAGTTAAATTGGACGGATTTTCTTTAGCACGTGATAGACCGTTAGTTACACATGTTTTCACCCCTATTCTTACACCGTTGGAGATGTGGTTTCTCGTGTTTTAGACAGATTTCACGCTAGGTTGTGCTCGTTTGTGATATTTCAGGTCCTAGCAAGTGAATGAAGGTTTAGGAGCGAGTTCGGGGTCGATTGGGTGAAGATCGGGCGCGAGACAAGTCACAAAGGAGGTCACACGGGCTGCCCTGATGTACACACGGCCGTGTGAAGGAGTGGTTTGGCCGTGTGGGATTCTGCGAGAGCAGACACGGGCAGAGCAGAAGACCCACACGGCCGTGCAAGTGGCCGGGTTGGCCGTGCCACATTCTGCGAGAGCAAACACGGGCAGGAAGGGAAGTTCACACGGCCGTGCCATTCTGGCCGTGCAAAGAGCCTGAAATTCGACTAAATGATACGCTGCGTTTTGACTCACACGGGCAACTGGGTGAGCTGCACGGCCGTGCCACCCTGGCCGTGTGAGTCGGGATTTTCTCCTTTTAAGCAGAATTTCAGCCACAATTCGGGGGGATTCGAGTTATTGAGAGATAGAACGATTCCTAGAGTGAGAAAGTGACGAGCAAGAGTTCCCAAGTGCCCTAGATTGATCTTCAACACCATTGGAGGCCAGCTTGAGCTTGGAGAAGTGCCAATCAACGTCCAGAAGCAGGAATCCATCCTTCGCAGTATGAATTCCGTGTCTGATTCTGCGTTTGCTTTCTTCTCCATGAAGTAGTTCTCCCATTCATCTGGGTATGGAGAACCCTAGATTTGTATGTTAGGTTTGATTGTATGAACCCAAGTACTGATTCTATGATTGATGATATTCGATTGAGGTTTTAATGATTGAATGACTTGAATCCTGATCAAATTCCTGTTGTTTCTGCTTTAACCTAGAATGAGAATATCTGCCTAGGTTAATAGAGTATCCTTGATTGAAGGTAGGGAGTTGGTGACTTTAGTCGAGGAACCAACTCACTATTCTGTACCGGATTTACTCCGGTAGTGGAGGTTTCGTTCTTAGGGCCTCAATCTGTCTACTCCGGTGGAGGTTAGTCGCCCGCTAGAGATTCAGATTGAGAGGGTCTGAAGACCTTTAGTCGAGACTTCGGGCTGTTTAAGAACCTTCCGCAGTATAATTTTCATAGAAACTGAACTTGGTAATTACAATCCGGCTTAACTGCAGTCTAGGGGGAACCATATCCGGGTGACCTCTCTTAACCTGAATACAACAGTTTACTTGCTTTGTTAGTTTGATAGTTTAGACTTGCATTCCAGATTCATTGCTAGATAACACGAATTCACTGAGTAGTCATCATATCTAGGACCCGGGTTGATAATTAAAACCCAAACCCGCTATACTACGCTTTAGGAAGTGGTTTCACTTGGCCAATTCCTGGAGTGACAGTAGAGTCGAGTCAAGTTTTTGGCGCCGTTGCCGGGGAACGGCTAGGTTGTTGAAGAAAAGTGATTTCTGTTAATTTAGCTTTTCTTTTTGCTTTGTTTGCTTTGTCCCACTTGTGCCTTCACGGGTTTGCTTGCTTGAGTGTGTGCAGGTAGTGCATGACCCGTAGCCAGTCGGGAGGTTTACTGCCGTTGAATCCAGAGATTGACCGCACCTGTCGCCGGCTCAGGAGACAACAGCGAGCTAGACTGGCTACGGAAGAGCGCATAGACGGCCACGTGAGCAATGATTCTGAAGAAGAGCACGGGATGGACGGAGAGTACAATCAACACCAGGGGAATCCTCAGCAGGCTCCCCCGGTGAATCAGGTCCTGGGGAACAACCCCATACCCCAGGATCATGGAGTTCATCATCCACCGCAGCCGGGTCCCACCTTGGAGTACTACTACACTCCGCGGATTGCTGACATCCGCCCGGTCATCCTCTACCCGCCTATTCCAGCAAATAACTTTGAGATCAAGCCATGCTGGATTCAGCTCATCACATCCTCTATCCAGTTTCATGGCTTGAAAGATGAGGAGGCCAGGGTACATCTTTCCCGTTTTCTGCAGCTGACGAACGGGTTCAAGCTGAATGGTGTCCCGGATGATGCAATCCGCCTTCATCTTTTCCCCCATTCTCTGGCGGGGAATGCTAAGAGGTGGTTGGAGACCCAGCCCCCATTGTCCATCACCTCTTGGGACGATCTGGCGGACAAGTTCGTGCACAGGTATTATCCGGCATCGAAGACTACAGAGATCCAGCGGGAGATCACTCACTTCCGCCAAGAGCCAGATGAGTCACTTCGTGATGCGTGGGAGCGGTACATGGGCTATTTCTGGCAATGCCCCCATCATGGCTTCAGCGATGCATTCACAGTGGGGAACTTCTACAGTGCCCTCTCTCCAGATAGCCAGAGGGTGATTGAGTCTCTATGCCCAGGAGGGGATATCCTCACTAAGACTCCACCCGAGCTGAACCAGATGATTAATACATTGGCTGCCAGAGATCATTCCTGGGGGCAGAGCAGCAGAGGCAGACATTCCCGGGATCGTGGTGTGCACGCCATGGAGACCAGATCCGGGCTCGAGCAGCAGGTAGCTGAGCTAGTGCAGACATTGAAGCAGCCCAACAGTCTTATTCCGGGCAGAGGTATGGCTACACCTCCAGTTGCTCAGTGTCAGTGGTGTGAGAGCTCGAGCCACTTAGTAGAAGACTGCCAGGCTATGAGGGAGTCTACTACCCCCAAGGAGCAGTTGGACTTCATCGCCAATGCTCGGCGCCTCGACCCGTACAGCAACACCTACAATGAGGGGTGGCGCCAGCATCCCAACTTCTCTTGGGGCAGCAACACCACTAAGCCACCTGGTTTCCCAGCACCAGCTGGTGGCTTTCAGCAGAGGCAGCCCTACCAGGCTCGACAGGGGCCAGTTCCACAGCAGCAGCCCTACCAGCCTAGGCAAGGGCAACCCTTCCAGCAACCCCAGCGCCAGTTTGCCGAGCCAGCAGCAGCTCCAGCTCCAGATACCCAGATGACGAAGCTGGAAAATATTCTGGCTTCATTCATGACGAGCACTCAGCCGACTATCACGAGGTTGGACCAGAGTGTAGCCTCACTGGAGGCAGGTCAGAGGAACCAGGGTGCCATTTTGCAGGATCTGCAGACCCAGGTGGGCATCTTGGCCCGCCAGAACACCACCAGGGCACCGGGGACTTTGCCTGCCACAACTGTCCCGAATCCTCGGGATCCTCACCAGCTCCAGCAGCTTGATGCCATCACTACCAGGAGTGGCAAGACCACATCAGCTGCTCCTGCCCAGCCCAGTCGAGATGATCCACTACCTGCTTCAACACTTCCAGCTGATACTGCAGACGTGGGGGAAGACACAACAACGCCTGCTCCCAAGCCACAGCCAGTGGTTAAGGAGCATGTACCCCAGCTTCCTTTCCCCACTCGCCTGCATAAAGACAGGCTGGAGACTGAGTTTGCCAAGTTCATGGCAATGTTGAAGCAGGTCAACATCAGCATGCCGTTCGTGGAGGCACTGTCAAAGATGCCCAAGTATGCCAAATTCATGAAGGACCTCCTCACCAACAAGAAGAAACTTGGGGATCTTTCGACAGTGATGCTGAGCGAGGAGTGTTCTGCCATCCTGCAGAACAAGCTGCCCGAGAAGCGAAAAGACCCAGGGAGTTTCACTATCCCTCTTGTTATTGGCAGCATGCATGTAGGAAAGTCCTTGGCAGACCTAGGCGCTAGCATAAATGTCATGCCTTATAAATTGTTTAAGAAGCTAGGCCTAGGTGAACCTAGAACTACTAGGATGAGCATTCAGTTAGCTGATCGTTCTATCGTGCATCCTAGGGGTATCATTGAGGACTTGCTTGTTAATGTGGGTGCATTCACATATCCTGTTGACTTTGTTATTTTGGATATAAATGAGGATGTTGATGTACCTTTGATTTTAGGTAGACCGTTTCTCGCCACCGCCAAGGCGCTTATTGATGTGCATAGTGGTAAATTGATTCTGCGTGCTGGTGATGAACATGCTACTTTTTCTGTGTCTGAGAATGGGAAACACCCTCATTTGCATGATGACATAGATTACTGTGATATGCTTGCTGATTATGAGACCGCACTCGCCATCACGAGTGCGGGTACTGACGATGTTCTTGAGCGTTGTATTTTGCTAGGTGAGCAGGCATCGCAGGAGCCGCAGCTGGCGGAATAGTTGGCCGAGTTGGAGAGTGGCCCCTTCTTGGAGGGCGACAGGCTGTTTAAACCGATCTCATCCTCCACCCGCATCGCTACTTCCTTGGAGGAACCACCAGAGCTGGAGCTTAAGCCCCTCCCTCCTCATTTGGAGTATGCATTTCTCCGGGAGGGGAATAAGCTGCCAGTCATCGATCATCAGCTCGACCCTCACACCCGAGCAGAAGACCAGACTAGTGGCCTTGCTGAAGCGGTACGAGCGAGCCCTCGCATGGAAGATCACAGACATCCGGGGGATCAGCCCTTCTTTCTGCTCCCACCGGATACTGATGGAGGATGAGATGCGGCCAGTGAGACAGCCGCAGAGGAGACTGACACCGAACCTGGAGGCTGTGGTTCGGGCAGAGATCGTGAAGCTGTTGGACGCGGGGATCATCTTCGCCATTTCCGACAGCGAGTGGGTCAGTCCCACCCAGGTGGTACCCAAAAAGGGTGGGATGACTGTGGTGCCTAACGAGAAGAATGAGCTGATCCCGATGCGCACGGTGACTGGGTACCGTGTCTACATTGATTACCGGCGTCTCAACGACGCCACTCGGAAGGACCACTTCCCGCTACCATTCATTGATCAGATGCTGGAGCGACTGGCGGGGCACGAGTTCTACTGTTTTCTGGATGGGATGTCCGGGTACTTCCATATCCCGATTGCACCGGAGGACCAGGCGAAGACCACTTTCACCTGCCCCTTCGGCACCTTTGCATACCGGAGGATCCCATTCGGGCTATGCAATTCCCCTGCGACTTTTCAGCGTTGCATGCTCGCCATCTTTGACCGTCTGGTCGGCGAGATTATGGAGGTTTTTATGGACGATTTCTCGGTTTATGGAGACTCATTCTCTCACTGTCTCCATAACCTGGAGCTTGTCCTTAGACGGTGTGAAGAAACGAACCTGGCACTGAGTTGGGAGAAGTGTCACTTCATGGTTCGAGAAGGCATAGTTCTTGGGCATAAGATCTCCAAGATGGGGATTGAGGTGGACAGAGCGAAGATTGAGACTATCAGCAAGCTGCCTCCTCCTACATCTGTTAAGGGGATCCAGAGTTTTCTTGGTCATGCAGGGTTCTACAGGCGGTTCATCAAGGATTTCTCGAAGATTGCTCTGCCCCTGACGAAGCTTCTAGAGAAGGATGCTCCCTTCCAGTTCACTGATGCATGCACAGCGGCTTTCAGGACCTTGAAGGAGAAGCTCACCCAGGCTCCTATCATGGTTGTTCCTGACTGGTCCTTACCATTTGAGATTATGTGCGATGCCAGTGACTTTGCTGTTGGAGCTGTGTTGGGGCAGAGGCGTGATCAGCATTTCCGACCCATCTACTACGCCTCGAAGACCTTGAATGATGCCCAGGAGAACTACACCACCACGGAGAAAGAGCTGCTCGCGGTGGTGTTTGCCTTCGATAAATTTCGCCCCTATCTGGTCTTGTCCCATGTGATTGTGTATACTGATCACTCCGCGATTCGATACTTGATGAGCAAGGCTGATGCAAAGCCTAGGCTCATACGATGGATGTTACTGCTGTAGGAGTTTGATATTGAGATTCGGGACAAGAAGGGAGCAGAGAATGTTGCTGCCGATCACCTCTCCCGGTTGGACGCACCCCCTGCGGACAACCTCGAGGAGGAAATCAATGACTCCTTTCCAGATGAGAGACTGATGATGATGTGCTTGGTGGAGAGTGTCACCCCCTGGTATTCTGATTTTTCAAATTATCTTGTGGGCCAGCAGCTGCCCAAGGGGATGACCACTCACGCCAAGCGGAAGTTCTTCTCCGACCTGAAGTACTACTTCTGGGATGACCCCCATCTCTTCAGGATCGGAGCTGACGGGATCGTCCGTCGATGTGTTATGGAGAGTGAGATGGAGGGCATTCTATCTCACTGTCATGAAGGACCTGCTGGCGGTCACCACGGAGGAAACCGCACGGCGAGGAAGGTGCTCCAGTCGGGCTTCTACTGGCCCACGCTCTTCAAGGACGCCGACGCCTTCGCACGCAGGTGCGACCGATGCCAGAGGTCAGGTAACATCTCTGCCTGTGATGAGATGCCCCAGAATGTGTTTATTACTTGTGAGATTTTTGATGTCTGGGGTATCGACTTCATGGGCCCCTTCCCTCCATCCTTTGGCAATACATATATTCTTGTTGTTGTTGACTACGTCTCTAGGTGGGCTGAGGCGCAAGCTTTGCCCACTAATGATGCTAGACGTGTTTGTGGTTTTTTGAAGCAGCTATTCTCCCGGTTCAGGACACCTAGAGCCATCATAAGCGACCGAGGCACCCATTTCCAGGGTCAGTTCGATAAATTGTTGTCTCGCTATGGTGTAACTCATAAGGTGTCTGTGGCCTATCATCCTCAAACCAGTGGCCAGGCCGAGCTGACGAACCGGGAGCTCAAACGGATCTTGGAGAAGACGGTGAACCTATCCCGCAAGGATTGGTCCACTAAGCTCGATGATGCTCTGTGGGCATATCGCACTGCCTACAAGACGCCCATTGGTACCTCACCGTACCGGCTTGTCTATGGAAAGGCATGCCATTTGCCCGTGGAGCTAGAGCACAAGGCCTTCTGGGCCCTTAAGCTGCTAAACTTGGATGTTAGTGTTGCAGGTGTTGAGCGAAAAATGCAGATGTTGGAGCTGGAAGAGTGGCGTTATCACGCCTATGAGAACACCAAGCTGTACAAGGAGCGCACAAAGCGCCTACATGATGCACGGTTGCGGGGTCCGAAAGAGTTCCAGGTTGGTGATCGAGTTCTCCTTTATAACTCTCGCCTGAAGCTCTTTCCCGGAAAACTCCGTTCCCGGTGGTCTGGATCGTACACGGTCACACAGGTGTTCCCGTATGGCACGATTGAGATTGCTAACCCGCAAACTGAGCCGTTTAAAGTGAATGGCCATCGTCTCAAGCTCTACCTGGGAGACGAGGTCGAACGTGCGGAGTTAGCAGTGGAGCTCGCGGACCCTTAGTTCCGCAATTGGCGTCCAGCTAAAAGACGGTAAAGAAGCGCTTGTGGGGAGGCAACCCCACCACGGTTTGATTTTCTTTCGTGTGTTTTGAGTTGGATTGTAACCCGGTTTGGGTTTGGTTTGTTTTCTTTTGGTTTGGATGATATCTTATTGGGCTGACCATTGGACCTAACATATTGTGTTTGAGCTCTTTGGCTTCCTTTGGCTGTGCTTGTCTTGACTGGTACTCTCTCCAGTCCGCTTCCAGCCCCCTGCAGTCCGTGCATACCGGTACCATCGTTCCCTTTTCCTTCCCTCTTCTCCATTGAGGGCAATGTCGATCTTAAGTGTGGGGGGATGTTATCTTTTGACTGCATTAGATCTGTTTGTGTGCTTGGAGCCTAGTCCACTGTCCAAATCTCGAGATTTGAGGGCTCCAAGCACGGCTGTTTGCTTGATGATTGATCATATTGGCACTGTGGATGTGATTAGAGAATTGAATGGCTTTTGACTTGATACATGACAACTTGAGTGTGGCTTAGACAACTTATTGTGATGACTGAGATGTGCAGTAGAATTGTGTAGGGGTTCAGTTTTTCAACTGTCTGCTCACCAAATGTGACTTGGTTTGATCACTTGCTTTTGACAGTCATTTATGCATCTAGTTCAGGGAATCAGAACGAGAGACAGAGCATGTAGGTAGCCATGTGAGATTTGAGCCTGCTCGTTTCTTTCTTGTGCGATAGTTTCCTCTTCCATGATGTGCAGCATTCACGTTGTCATTAGCTAAGATGATGGAGGCATAGGATTAGCCCACGACCAAATTGATTGTCCTAGTGTGTCATACCCCCTAGTCAGCCCCTTTGAGCCGTGTGTTATCCTTTCTTTTGGTCTGAAATGAAAAAATCACCCTTTGCATCTTTTAGAAGGTTCCACAGAGTGGTTTTTACTTATTCTCTGCTGTTTCTGCTAAACGTAATGTGAGGGTTGGAGGTAGTGCTTAAAAGTTGGGCAGGTGCTTGAAATTGTGCAGAGGTGGTGGTTCTCTTAAGAAATGGAAAATAATGAAAGGAAATCAAAGAAAAAATGAAAGCAAAAGAGGGCCACCACTAAAAATCTGAATAACGCCCATGTAGTAATGTTTCTTAGCAGTCTGGCTTAGAAATACTAGCATTTATGTAACCTCCTTCGCTCTTGTGTTCTGAATTTGAGTAATGCAGAATAGCAGAAAGAAAGTTTCTGGTCTGATTGATTGTGAGTCTGTTGGGTTTGGAAATGTGGAACCTTGTGCTGTATGAATACTTCCACCACCTAAAAGGCTTTTTCCCCATGTCCAAGACCCTAGCCAGTCGTCTGAACCTGAGTCTAAGACCTCCGGATTAGTTAGTGGTGACACCCCATATGTGAACTCTAGCACTTAGAGGCTGCATTCATGGTGAAGAGATGTTAGGGATTGAGGGATTGAGCATGCGCATTTTTCGCATCATATTGTCCTGACCCCACTGGTCGAGAGTGAGCTATTCATTTTCTCTTATTCTTTATACTCTCTATCCCGGTGAGGACCTTGATTGCTCGGTCTTACTTCTGATACCTTGAATTTTGTGCATGATGTGATTGTTTTGAACAAGTGGTTGAGTTAAGTCTATGTTGGTTGGTGAACAGAAGGGAAACTCTTCCTTTGCTCGATTTTTGATGCATTCGAATGTCATCAGTGGTGGTTGTCTAGGTTGTCATTGAAGTTGTCCATGTGTTATTGATCGAAAGCCAGTATGATCCATGTGTTTTGTGCCGATATGTCATGCCTTGTTGTTTTGAGCTTACCTTGTGTCTGACTTGGTTTGCTTGAGGACAAGCAAACGGTTAAGTGTGGGGGAGTTTGATAGACCGTTCGTTACACATGTTTTCACCCCTGTTCTTACACCGTTGGAGATGTGGTTTCTCGTGTTTTAGACCAATTTCACGCTAGGTTGTGCTCGTTTGTGATATTTCAAGTCCTGGCAAGTGAATGAAGGTTTAGGAGCGAGTTCGGGGTCGATTGGGTGAAGATCGGGCGCGAGACAAGTCACAAAGGAGGTACACGGGCTGCCCTGATGTACACACGGCCGTGTGAAGGAGTGGTTTGGCCGTGTGGGATTCTGCGAGAGCAGACACGGGCAGAGCAGAAGACCCACACGGCCGTGCAAGTGGCCGGGTTGGCCGTGCCACATTCTGTGAGAGCAAACACGGGCAGGAAGGGAAGTTCACACGGCCGTGCCATTCTGGCCGTGCAAAGAGCCTGAAATTCGACTAAATGATACGCTGCGTTTTGACTCACACGGGCAACTGGGTGAGCTGCACGGCCGTGCCACCCTGGCCGTGTGAGTCGGGATTTTCTCCTTTTAAGCAGAATTTCAGCCACAATTCGGGGGGATTCGAGTTATTGAGAGATAGAACGATTCCTAGAGAGAGAAAGTGACGAGCAAGAGTTCCCAAGTGCCCTAGATTGATCTTCAACACCATCGGAGGCCAGCTTGAGCTTGGAGAAGTGCCAATCAACGTCCAGAAGCAGGAATCCATCCTTCGCAGTATGAATTCCGTGTCTGATTCTGCGTTTGCTTTCTTCTCCATGGAGTAGTTCTCCCATTCATCTGGGTATGGAGAACCCTAGATTTGTATGTTAGGTTTGATTGTATGAACCCAAGTACTGATTCTATGATTGATGATATTCGATTGAGGTTTTAATGATTGAATGACTTGAATCCTGATCAAATTCCTGTTGTTTCTGCTTTAACCTAGAATGAGAATATCTGCCTAGGTTAATAGAGTATCCTTGATTGAAGGTAGGGAGTTGGTTGTCAAGCACCAGTTGATCCCAATAACTCGAGTTGTTGGGAGAGGTTCAATCGTGAATCATATATCACAACACTAACACGCCCCCTCAAACGAAAGCCACTCACAAGGGCTTGAAGTTTGCACAAGTCTGAAGGCAAGAATACCATGTGCTTAACAAATGGGGTCACCGGGAATCGAACACAAGACCTTTCGGTCACAGAAGGCTCTGATACCATATCAAGAACCAGTTTATCCCAATAACTCGAGTTGTTGGGAGAGGTTCAATCGTGAATCATATATCACAACACTAACATTGGTGACTTTAGTCGAGGAACCAACTCACTATTCTGTACCGAATTTACTCCGGTAGTGGAGGTTTCGTTCTTAGGGCCTCAATTTGTCTACTCCGGTGGAGGTTAGTCGCCCGCTAGAGATTCAGATTGAGAGGGTCTGAAGACCTTTAGTCGAGACTTCAGGCTGTTTAAGAACCTTCCGCAGTATAATTTTCATAGAAACTGAACTTGGTAATTACAATCCGGCTTAACTGCAGTCTAGGGGGAACCATATCCGGGTGACCTCTCTTAACCTGAATACAACAGTTTACTTGCTTTGTTAGTTTGATAGTTTAGACTTGCATTCCAGTTTCATTGCTAGATAACACGAATTCACTGAGTAGTCATCATATCTAGGACCCGGGTTGATAATTAAACCCAAACCCGCTATACTACGCTTTAGGAAGTGGTTTCACTTGGCCAATTCCTGGAGTGACAGTAGAGTCGAGTCAGCACGCCACTACCAAATCCTTCAGAGCAAAGACATGCTAGTTCAAATCAAAGAATAAATGAAGAAAGATGAACTTAAGAACTCTTAACTAATTTTCATTCCATATGTGGCGAATCGCTAATGGTCGGGATCACCAACAAGAATAACCAACAAGGCAAAATCGTTAATATGAACCTACCTTTCACACACCAAATCATTTTATCTTGTACCGATAAATGTGTAAAGAAACACACTACAATAGTTATGTCTAAATTTCCTAATAATAAGGCATGATCAGCATTTATAAGCAGATGTAAAGAAATAATAAAATCGAGAAAAATAAAATAACACCAACCCTCACCCTAATCAATCAATACCATATGCTCTAAACCATCAACACGTTATAACCTACCCATATACTATATAGTCTAAACCATCAACAACCTAATACCTTCACCAGTCAGTACCCTTTTCCTTTAACATCAACACCTTATACAACAATCGTATACATGTACGCTGATAAAATTTTACATTTTGAAATACTTGCCCAACTAAAGTACATAGGTACTTCAAAAGTGAAATTCAAACTTTCGTTTCAAAACATAAATTAAAAAAATATCCGCACTAAGTATCCAACCACAAGCCTCTAATTAGTCTACAAGAGGTTTGTTATGTATGAGTGCAATGTGACTCGACTCTACTGTCACTCCAGGAATTGGCCAAGTGAAACCACTTCCTAAAGCGTAGTATAGCGGGTTTAGGTTTAATTATCAACCCGGGTCCTAGATTTGATGACTACTCAGTGAATTCTTGTTATCTAGCAATGAAACTTTAATGCAAGTCTAAACTAACAAACTAACAAAGCAAGTGAACGGTTGTATTCAGGTTAAGAGAGGTCACCCGGATATGGTTCCCCCTAGACTGCAGTTAAGCCGGATTGTAATTACCAAGTTCAGTTTCTATGACAGTTATACTGCGGAAGGTTCTTAAACAGCCTGAAGTCTCGACTAAAGGTCTTCAGACCCTCTCAATCTGACTCTCTAGCGGGCGACTAACCTCCACCGGAGTCGACAGATTGAGGCCCTAAGAACCAAACCTCCACTACCGGGGTAAATCCGGTACAAAATAGTGAGTTGGCTCCTCGACTAAAGTCACCAACTCCCTACCTTCAATCAAGGATACTCTATTAACCTAGGCAGATATTCTCATTCTAGGTTAAAGCAGAAACAACAGGAATTTGATCAGGATTCAAGTCATTCAATCATTAAAACCTCAATCGAATATAATCAATCACAGAATCAGTACTTGGGTTCATACAATCAAAGCCTAACATACAAATCTAGGGTTCTCCATACCCAGATGAATGGGAGAACTACTCCATAGAGAAGAAAGCAAAAGCAGAATCAGACACGGAATTCATACTGCGAAGGATGGATTCCTGCTTCTGGACGTTGATTGGCACTTCTCCAAGCTCAAGCTGGCCTCCAATGGTGTTGAAGATCAATCTAGGGCACTTGGGAACTCTTGCTCGTCACTTTCTCTCTCTAGGAACTGATCTCTCTCTCAAAAACTCGAATCCTCCCGAATTGTGGCTGAAATTCTGCTTAAAAGGAGAAAATCCCGACTCACACGGCCAGGGTGGCACGGCCGTGCAGCTCACCCAGTTGCCCGTGTGAGTCAAAACGCATCGTTTCATTTAGTTCGAATTCCAGGCTCTTTGCACGGCCAGAATGGCACGGCCGTGTGGACATCCCCTCTTGCCCGTGTTTGCTCTCGCAGAATGTGGCACGGCCCGGCCATTACTTTACACGACCGTGTGAACATCAGGGCAGCCCGTGTGACCTCCTTTGTGACTTGTCTCGCGCCCGATCTTCACCCAATCGACCCCGAACTCGCTCCTAAACCTTCATTCACTTGCCAGGACCTGAAATATCATAAACAAGCACAACCTAGCGTGAAATCGGTCTAAAACACGAGAAACCACCTCTCCAACGGTGTAAGAACAGGGGTGAAAACATGTGTAACTAACGGTCTATCAAACTCCCCCACACTTAACCGTTTGCTTGTCCCCAAGCAAACCTAACTCAAACCAATGCAACTCTCTAGACCTCTATAGCAACAAACAACCCAGATCGTAGGTAGAGGACTTCCTAGGTCAATTAGCAACTTACGAGGTCAATCGACGCACAAGTCATCTCATAACTTCTTCGGCGAGTCGGCATCATGGCAAATAGTGAACAGAGGACAAATGAATTGTGGATGAAGAGATTCTCAAAAACAACAGATCATGGACTCACATTTTTCAAGGTGCTCTATTTTCTGCTTAAGGATGGTTGGAACCCCTTTTCTTTCTGTTTTGCTTGTTTTCTGTTATTTTCTTTTCTTTTCTTTTCAAGGGTCCCAACCCGCTCTTACCGGCCATGCCAGGAGCGGATGTCTCAAGCCTCGTGCGGGGGAAAGACATGTAAGGGGGCTGGAGGTAGTAGGTGGAAATTGGGAACGGATTCCCGTCTCCCCTTACACACTTTCGCCCTATTCGCACGGGAGACGTTTATTTTGAAGCACATTTTCGAGCACCTGTTATTTTCAAAACATGACACAAGAGTCCATGACAGGCAGAGAATCCACAACACCACACAATTCAAGGGTCCTAAGATCACTAATTCACTCAATCAACCAACTCAATATGAAGAAGAAATGAGACTTCTTAAATGCATCAACATCCTCCATAGTGCTACACTACCTCCCTAGGTTGCATATTACTATAAAGACTGTCAATTCAAAGCATACTGAGCAGGCAATTGCAAGGAACACGTACTTGGAGCCCTCAAATTTAAAAATTTGGACAGTGGACTAGGCTCCAAGCACACAAACAGATCTAATGCAGTCAAAAGATAAACATCCCCCCACACTTAAGATCGACATTGCCCTCAATGGAGAAGAGGGAAGGAAAAGGGGAACGATGTTACCGGTATGCACGGACTGCAGGGGACTGGAAACGGGCCAGTCGGGGCAAGCACAGCCAAAGGGGCACAGAAGAGCTCAAACACAATATGTTAGGTTCAATGGTCAGCCCAATAAAATATCATCCAAACCAAAAGAAAACAAACCAAACCCAAAACGGGTTACAATCCGACTCAAAACACAAGAAAGAAAATAAAACCGTGGTGGGGTTGCCTCCCCACAAGCGCTTCTTTACCGTCGTATTAGCTGGACGCCCATGGTGGATACTCAGGGCGGTGCAGGAACAGGTGCCTCCAAGAGCGGATCCACATCGCTCTTGAGGTACAGCTTGAGGTTGTGGCCATGCACCCGACGAATGCGACCACCCTCATCAGTCAGCTCGACCTGCCCATCTGGCAAGATGCAGGAGAGCGAGTACCCAGACGGCCAGGGTGGTCGTGGTGCAGGAGGTGGAACCAGCTCATAGTGGTCTCCACTCTTCTTCCGTGCAGGCTTAGCAACCTGCTGCTTCGGCCGCCACTCCTCCTTGAGCTTTTTGTTCGGAGGCGAGGCTGGATGGAGTGGCGGCGAAGGAATGATAGGAGGGTCCTGCAAAATAGGAGGTGCAGAAGGGTACACGACAGACTCGTGTACCTGATCAGACATAGCATGCACAGGCGTGACAGCAATCATAGCACAGTGATCAAACTCAGTCACAGAAAAAGTAGCCTGTTCATTCCCAGCACGCAGGATCAGTTTACCATCATGCACATCAATAAGTGCCTTGGCGGTGGCAAGAAAAGGCCTACCTAGAATCAAAGGCACATCCACATCCTCATGTATATCAAGAATAACAAAATCAACAGGATATGTGAATGCACCAACACCAACAAGCAGATCCTCTATGATTCCCCTAGGATGCACAATAGAACGATCAGCTAATTGAATGCTCATCCTAGTAGGGCTAAGTTCACCTAGGTCTAGCATTTTATACAACTTATATGGCATGACGTTAATGCTAGCGCCTAGGTCCGCCAAGGACTTTCCTACATGCATGCTGCCAATAGTAAGAGGGATAGTAAAACTCCCTGGATCCTTGCGCTTCTCGGGCAGCTTGTTCTGCAGGATAGCAGAACACTCCTCGCTCAGCAACACTGTCGAAAGATCCCCAAGTTTCTTCTTGTTGGTGCAGAGATCCTTCATGAACTTGGCATACTTGGGCATCTTCGACAGTGCCTCCATGAACGGTATGCTGATGTTGAGCTGCTTCAACATTGCCATGAACTTGGCAAACTCAGTCTCCAGCTTGTCTTTGTGTAGGCGAGTGGGGAAGGGAAGCTGGGGCACATGCTCCTTAACCACTGGTTGTGGCTTGGGAGCAGGGGCTTCCTTCTCCCCCCGCACTTCTGCATCGTCGGCTGAAAGTGCTGAAGCAGGTCGTGGTTCCTCCTGTCTGGCTGGGACAGGATCAGCAGATATGGTCTTACCGCTCCTAGTAAAAATGGCATCCAACTGCTGATGCTGGTGAGGATCTCGAGGATTCGGGACAGTGGTGGCAGTCAAAGTCCCCGGTGCCCTGGTGGTGCTCTGGCGGGCCAAGATGCCCACCTGGGTCTGCAAATCCTGCAAAATGGCACCCTGGTTCCTCTGACCTGCCTCCAGTGAGGCTACACTCTGGTCCAACCTCGTGATAGTCGCCTGAGTGCTCGTCATGAATGAAGCTAGAATGTTTTCCAGCTTCGTCATCCTGTCATCTGGAGTTGGAGCTGCTGCTGGCTCAGCAAACTGGTGTTGGGGCTGCTGGAATGGCTGCCCCTGCCTAGGCTGGTAGGGCTGCTGCTGTGGGTCTGGCCCCTGGCGAGCCTGGAAGGGCTGCCTCTGCTGAAAACCACCTGCTGGTGCTGGGAAACCAGGTGGTTTAGTGGTGTTGCTGCTCCAGGCGAAGTTGGGATGCTGGCGCCACCCCTCATTATATGTGCTACTGTAGGGATCGAGGCGCCGCGCATTGGCGATGAAGGCCAACTGCTCCTGGGGTGTGGTAGACTCCCTCATAGCCTGGCAGTCCTCCACTAGGTGATTGGTGCTCTCACACCACTGACACTGAGCAACTGGAGGTGTAGCCAAACCTCTGCCCGGAATAAGACTGTTGGGCTGCTTCAATGTCTGCACTAGCTCAGCTACCTGCTGCTCGAGCCCGGATCTGGTCTCCATGGCGTGCACACCACGGTCCCTGGAATGTCTGCCTCTACTGCTCTGCCCCCAGGAATGATCTCTGGCAGCCAATGTATTAATCATCTGGTTCAGCTCGGGTGGAGTCTTAGTGAGAACATCCCCTCCTAGGCATAGAGACTCAATCACTCTCTGGCTATCTGGAGAGAGAGCACTGTAGAAGTTCCCCACTGTGAAAGCATCGCTAAAGCCATGATGGGGACACTGCCAGAAGTATCCCATGTACCGCTCCCATGCATCACGAAGTGACTCATCTGGCTTCTGGCGGAAGTGAGCGATCTCCCGCTGAATCTCTGTAGTCTTCGATGCCGGATAGTACCTGTGCACGAACTTGTCAGCCAGATCGTCCCAAGAGGTGATGGACAATGGAGGCTGGGTTTCCAACCACCTCTTAGCATTCCCCGCCAGAGAATGGGGGAAAAGATGAAGGCGGATTGCATCATCCGGGACACCATTCAGCTTGAACTCGTTCGTCAGCTGCAGAAAATGGGACAGATGTACCCTGGCCTCCTCATCCTTCAAGCCATGGAACTGGATGGAAGATGTAATGAGCTGAATCCAGCATGGCTTGATCTCGAAGTTGTTTGCTGGGATAGGCGGGTAGAGGATGACCGGGCGGATGTCAGCAATCCGCGGAGTGTAGTAGTACTCCAAGGTGGGACCCGGCTGCGGTGGATGATGAACTCCATGATCCTGGGGTATGGGGTTGTTCCCCAGGACCTGATTCACCGGGGGAGCCTGCTGAGGATTCCCCTGGTGCTGATTGTAGTCTCCGTCCATCCCGTACTCTTCTTCAGAATCGCTATTCAAGTGGTCGTCTATGCGCTCTTCCGTAGCCAGTCTAGCTCGCTGCTGTCTCCTGAGTGCTGTCTCCTGAGTTGGCGACAGGTGCGGTCAATCTCTGGATTCAACGGTAGTAAACCTCCCGACTGGCTACGCGTCATGCACTACCTGCACACACTCAAGCAAGCAAACCCGTGAAGGCACAAGTGGGACAAAGCAAACAAAGCAAAAAGAAAAGCTAAATTAACAGAAATCACTTTTCTTCAACAACCTAGCCGTCCCCGGCAACGGCGCCAAAAACTTCATTCACTTGCCAGGACCTGAAATATCACAAACAAGCACAACCTAGCGTGAAATCGGTCTAAAACACGAGAAACCACCTCTCCAACGGTGTAAGAACAGGGGTGAAAACATGTGTAACTAACGGTCTATCACAATGCATAATGAGGGGCAATCAGTGAGAGAGTGGAATAAGGCCAATTAATGAAGAGTTAAATTGGGCGGATTGTTGTTTACCTCGTACCGATAAATGTGTAAAGAAACACGCTACCATTTACCAAATCCCAAAAAAAGATGGAACACATAATTATGTTTAAATTGCATGAACTCAAGGCATGATCAGGATTTTAGAAGCAGAATCATATGTAAATAAAATATAAAATCAAGTAAAACAAAGAACCGAAAACTGGGATAGACAATTATCAAAGACCCAACCTAATGACAATCCGGAACTCAGTATCTATTATCAACAAACTAGGTGTCATGGATGATGTACAAGCCCACTTTTGAATGTTATTTAAAAGCCTGCAAAAATCAATGATTAGACCCATAAATAATACGGATCCCAGTCCAACTAGAATTAGTCCTAAACGTACCGTTTATACATAAACACAAATTAAGGCGATCTCTCCATCCGATTCTAATCAAATTCTGTCTTCTTCGTCTTCTTCCTCAATCCTCTGGGCGAGACGATCACTACATATCAGGAAACCTTAATTTCACTGAGTGATAGAAGTTATTTTGCAAATGACAATAACGCTAAGACAAGATGACAAAGCACTAGCGACATGAACCCTAGGGTTAGCAAACCTCTATCAAGGATTCTTTTGCAAATGAAAAGTTTGATGAATACAATCAATCAATAATAGACATGGTCGTCGTAATCGTGTTAGAAAGAGATAGGTGAGTAAATTTTGGCCGGAAGGCGAAGAACAAAACGTCAATTTGTGGATACAAGGATTTGGGGTTCAAAAGGATGATTATGTGAGGATTTCAGATTGGATGGGGATCTTCTCTTCGAATGTTGATACATAGATTTGGGGTATGAAACATGATGATGTTGGGGATTTGAGATTGGATAGGGAGCTAAATCGAATGTGGATCAAATAATAAAAGGATTTGGGTTTCGAAACGATGATTTTGTTGGAGATTTCATATTCGATAGGCAGCTTATGATCGAACTTCGAACTAAGAGGGGACGTCCCCTCCAAGACGAATGAGAGATCGTAGAAGGGAGACTAGAAATTAGTTAGGGCGGCGGTGGGTCGTATCCATAGGGTTTAACCTCTTAATCGATAAAAATAAACGGGTATAGTTAGGTTGAAGTTCAATGAAAAAAGCTTTAACGCTTCGTTATGCTTTTTGTAATTTTCCTTGCCCCTGGTCTTCTGTACCCCGGATTTTGCCCTGGACACCCTAGAACTAGGGGTGTCAAACGGTGTGGTTACCATGGTAACCGTTTTAACTAGTATTATTTGGATAATTTGGTTTGGTTAATTTGGATAATTGGTTTGGTTTTGTTAAAGTTTTTAGCTTGTTTGGTTTAGGTGGTTTAGTTTGGTTTCATGCACTCCTAACCAGCCAAACCAAATTAACCAGATAAATAATTAGTCATATATCTCATATATACACATACTTAATACTTTGAATGACCACTCATGAGTTAAACATTCATCCCTTTTAGACTCATAAAATATAAAGCTTGATATTGTTCCTATAATGTATATTTGTATATGTAGAGTGTAGACCACAACATATGAATGCCTAATTTAAATAAATCTCATACATTGTATTGGATGACAACTTGAAAGCAAGGTCCTTTTCAGCCTATGAAAATTGCTAAAAGACTAAGTCAATTCAAACAAACACAACAATTCATTAACCCATACCATTGTGATAAATTTTTGTTAGGTGAATACTTATATACTAACCGTAAGATAATTGTCTTAGTTGCATGTATTTATGTTAAGGGTCTACTATAACTATGTGTTGATTGTTATGTTTTATTCATTATATAAATTGTAAATTGATAAATTAATCAAATAATTTCTCACTTAATGATAATGTGATTTTATATTGGTTAATACGGTTAACCAATTAATCAAACCGATTAAACATTAGTTTGGTTAATTTGGTTGTTATATTAGTTTGGACGGTTTGGTTATGATATTGTATTCCATGATTAATGCATATCTATTACCCTATCCAAAGTAGTTCGGGTTTTACCCATACCATACCCATATAAGAAATGGGTAGAAAATCCAAACCGTGCCCATACCTAGGGATGGCAAATTACCCACCCATGGGTAATTATACCCAAACCCAAGTAGACCCATTGATAATGGGTTGGGTATGGGTGAAGTGCATATGGATTTGGGGGTTTATAGATGGGTTTGGGTTTGGGGCTTCCATAATCTAAATGGGTATGGGTTGGATATGGATATCCATTTACTTGAGGGTGTTTTAACTACACATGCAAAAATTGGACCTATTTGCAAAACTTGAAAAGTTTAGGTACCAAAATGTAAGACCAAAAAAATTTAGGTACCAAAACATAATTTTCCATCGATATTTTGAGGACTTATATGCAAAAAAAATTAAATTTAGGTACTAAATATGCATGTCTATTAAGTTTGGGTACCAAACTGTAATTTGTATTTGGGCATGGGTACAAACCCAAATCCATTTGATATAAACCCAACTCAACCCAAAGTAAATGAGTATGAGTACAAACCCATCAAACTCTACCCATATCCATCTATTTGGATTTCATACCCAACCCAATCGGGTTGGATAGTAAGAAACCCATGGGTATGGGCAAAGTTGCCATCCCTACCCATACCCATTCGGGTTTCAGGTATCCACGGTTATCCATGGGTAATAGTTTATCTTTATAACTCCAACAAATATGTTGATATTCACACATATTCTCATGTTTCGTGAGGCAAAAGGTACGACAATAATTCACTATAATGAAGAAAATCAATTAAAACAATACAATTTCATGAAAATATTATATTTATATGCTAAATATAAAGTACGTTAGAGAAAAATAATGATTATTTTTAGACAAAATACAGATGCATGTGTATAATCGGGCAGGTTCGGGTTGGATAGTGAGAAAATCATGCCCACCCATTACCCGCAATATCCGGGTTCGGATTTTAACAGTACCCGCTAAAAGTCTTTCGGGTTCGAGTTTTATCCTACCCGATTAGGTCGGATTCGGGTGGATATCCATGGTTACAGTATTTTTTTAATCCCTAGGTAACCATTTGAACACCCTTACTTAGAACTGTCCGATTATCTAATTACTTAAAGCAATAAAATAAATAAGGGTAAATACAATATAATATCCAAACCTTTCATTTTAAACAATATAATAGCCAAACTTTTTCGAAAACAATCTAATATCCAAATCGTCAACTTTCCGTCCGTTTGACCGTTAGTTGACACTTCAAAAAAGTTTTGTTTAGGGGAAATTGTCACAATACAACTTTGTTTTCTTGTTTTGGCATTGCAGATGACTGAATATTTAGATATTCTATACCATCATGGTGGAGTCATGAACTTCTCGGGTTTGGAACCACGATATGTTGGTGGTTTTTCAGAGAAGATATCGATGAATATTGATGAAGCGTCGTACGTCGAACTTTTTTGAAGTGTCAACTAACGGTCAAACGAACAAAAAGTTGACGATTTGGATATTATATTGTTTTTGAAAAAGTTTGGCTATTATATGTTTAAAATGAAAAGTTTGGATAGTAAATTGTATTTTATCTAATAAAGAAGACTGAACTTGGTTAAGACGTCTACTAATCGTGGTCACACCTCTCGAAGGTTGCGCGGCGCTTTTCCTTTTTGCTTCGTCTCCGCAGTCAAGTTTCTCCCCTCATTCCTTCCCCAGACGCCTCTCCCGCCGCCGACGCCAAACCCCGCACGCCATTCCATCATCTAGGTAACTTCGTAGCTCAACCTCCATAACTTTCATTCCTTCTCTAATCATCCAAGGTCCGAATCCTCCGTTCCCACTTGCTCATTATGATAAATGAAATTATCATCGACGTTTCTGTTACTGGTCTAGGGTTTTAGCTTGACCGTGATACTTTTCCTTTGCCCTTTTCTGGTTCTGTTCAGCTTACGGTCGATTTAATCAGATCTTGAGACTAATGTTCTTCCTCTCTGGGACCGGTGTTTATGGCTGCTTCCTCTAGCGCGATGAGCTTGTTGCTTGCTGTTGGCGTTTGGTGTACTGCGTACCTTGCTGCAGCTCTTCTCTCCTATTTCCGTGTCTTCAGTACTCTTTGCCGCCTCTGATAATTTCGTAATCGCCAGCGAGTTTGAAACGAGCTAATCAAAATCATGGGTTATGCACAGCTTGTTATTGGCCCTGCTGGGAGCGGGAAGGTAAAGCTCCTATGCCCCATGTAGAAAGAAAGCAAATTTCTTTTAAGAACCTGGTTATGGAGAATCGTATCTGCTTTTAATATCTGTTTGCTTCTTGTTCAGTCTACTTATTGTTCTAGCTTGCACCAACATTGTGAAACGCTTGGCCGGTCCATTCATATTGTGAATCTAGATCCTGCTGCAGAGAACTTCGATTATCCAGTCGCTGTGGGTGAGTTTTCTTGCTGATGTGTTCCTTGGTTATCCGTTGATTAAGGAGTAGTTTTTTCTTGCATTAGTTTTGATTAAGGGTTTTCATTTGGCTTGCAGATATAAGAGAACTCATTAATTTGGAAGATGTCATGGAGGAATTTGGTCTCGGTCCCAATGGGGCTCTTATGTACTGCATGGAGTATCCTTTGTTACTTTCATATGTTGTGGACTGTCTATGATATACTCCTTATCTATCGAGGTCTACCTGCGTTAAATAGTTGTTCCCTCTAAACTACCTCAATTGTCCTGTTTTCTTATATGACTCTATTATTCCTTTTTTTAATCATTTCCTGTTAGAAAGCTGAAGTACCCTTCTTGACATGGTTCCAAATGCGCAAAATCTACTTTTACTTCAGTCTACAGCTTATTATGCTTACGACCACTTTGAGTTTCAATGAAATTTGACTTCAGCTATGTTCCATTTCCACATCCTACTTGAGAATCCTTAATATAAATGATTAGAGAACTTGAGGACAATCTTGATGATTGGTTAACAGAAGAGCTGGACAACTACTTGGATGATGAGTACCTAGTTTTTGATTGTCCAGGTTTTTCTGCATTTCTCTATTTGTTAACTTCTGTTAACTTTTGTATGTTAATATGCCTTGTACTGTTGTTCATGCAAATGGTCCTTCATAAATTCTAATTATGTAACCTAATCGAAACCCGTTACAGGCCAGATAGAACTTTTCTCACATGTTCCGGTGCTTAAGAACTTTGTGGAGCATTTGCAGCGGAAGAACTTCAATGTGTGTGTTGTATACTTGCTTGATTCACAGGTAGTTGAAAGTGCTACCTTTACTCTTTACTTTCGTGTTAGCTTACGAGATTTAGCTTGCAACATTTGATTTACTGTCTCACTGAGATGGTAATCCCTCCCTTTTTTATCAGTTCATTACAGACGTGACCAAGTTCATTAGTGGCTGCATGTCGTCCCTCTCTGCAATGATACAGCTTGAGTTGCCCCATGTTAACCTTCTATCCAAAATGGACCTGGTGACGGACAAACGGCATCTTGAAGAGTGACTCCCTGACCCTTTCTCCCTCCCCCCCATCCCCCCTCCCCCCCCATCTTATTTGGTATATATACTCACAAAGTGATATTTTTTTCTTTCAGCTACCTCACTCCAGAGCCCATGACTCTGTTGGCGGAGCTTAATAAGCGCATGGGTCCTCAGTTTCTTAAGTTAAACAAAGCACTGATGGAACTGGTAAGAAATAAAATCAGTTCATCTGCCTGTGTGGTTTTCTTGTTTTGATAGGATGCCTTCTTCCTCCCTCTTTCACAAAGACAGTAATAATTTCTTGAGAAAGTCTGTCATAACCTGCATTGCCTGTGTGGTTTTCTTGTTTGGATAGGACGCCTTCTTCCTTCTTTTTCATGCAAAGGCAGTAATAATTTCTTGAGAAAGTCTGTCATAACCTGTATGCGACGACTTCTTTTGGGTTTCAGGTTGATGAGTACAGTATGGTGAGCTTCATCCCGCTTGACTTAAGAAAAGAGACCAGGTACTCTCTCTTTATATGTGGTAGAGTTGATATATTCCTGTTGATGATTCAGTTAGCTGTGCTCGAGTCCAATGCAAGCAGTTCATTCGGATTATTTTGCATGAATCAACAAGTAAATAGCAGTTTGTTGTTTCCTACAGCATTCAATATGTATTGGCTCAAATCGACAATGCGATTCAATATGGAGAAGATGCAGACGTGAAGATCAGAGATTTTGATCCGGAAGATGCCGATGAATGATCAGAGATCTCCTTGCAGCTCGTTGTAGATATTAATTGTTTTGAGAGGAAAAAAAGGAGATACATTATGGAGTGCTTTTGCTCAGCGTTATTTCCAGAGAGCCATTTAGGTTCTCCTTTTCTACTGATCTACGGACTACGGTGACACCAAGTCGTCAACTGCAGAAGGAATTGGCTTATAGCTTTTGTTTGGAACTAATCTACATTTCACTAGTTTCTGTTGATCTGGTTGTGTCAAATGTCAAAACTGGGGGTTTAAATTTTGGTGCAATTGATACCTCGGAACTTAAAATATCAGGATTCAACAGTATTCCCCTTTGCTTAACATTCCATCATTTCCCCTTTGTTTTGTTCTCTAACGATTATCCAGCCTGAGCTAAAATCCGGCAAAATTCACTCAATATGGCACTTTGATATTGCTGTGTGGCATCCAGATGGACTTTTCATGACTCAGGTTAACTGAACTGGTAATATGAGTGTTACATGGTTTTCTCATTCGCTTTTTGGTTAACCGAACTAGTCACATGAGTGTTACATAGTTTTCTCGGAACGGTTTTGATCTTATATTATTTTGTTTTTTATGTCAACAGTATCAGTTATAACTAGTTTAAGTTACAGTTTGATCTTTATGTTCTTTTGTTTAAATATCTATTTTCAGTATTGGTTAATGATTCAGACCGATTTTAGGATTGTAGTGCACAGTTAACTGAGTTTAGGGTTGTAGCGTTGAGTTAACCAAAAATGAACCGATTGACCAATCCTGCTTACGAGAGATGGATAAGCATTGACAGTATGAATACACTAGGCCTAAATATTCAGCTGCATTTCAAAAATACGAAAGCTCTCCAGTTGAACTTACAAAAGTTGATTCAAGAAACATACACAATAGAAGACAAACAAGCTTTCTTGATTAGTCTTGAGAAGCAACTTAAAAAGTAGATTGAAAACTCTCTCATTCAACATAGCAGCAAAAGAACTGATCTGCCAAAAAAACAAGCTACGTTTAACACAGTTCGTAGCAGCAAATCGAGCGCAAACAAATCCTCGTCTTACTAAGTAAGAGTGCAACAAAATGGCCATTTCAAGTTCCACACTACTACGACTGCTCCTGCATCTACTCATCATCATCGTCCTCATCAGCGGCGGAGTTCAGAGCCTTCAGTCTGTCGATCAACTTCTGCCTCCTCTCATCAAAAGTCAACCTCTTGGGGTTGTACCTGCGAAGAAAAAAGACAAGACCGACAAACTGTTAAACACCATTTTCCAGCCATTATAGTCAGCAAACTTAGGCTGCCAGCAGTTACCTCTTGTGTTGAGTTTGGGCCGGTTTATCAGATTTCTTCGCGGTGGGGTCAGCACGGATGGCAGCATGAACCTTCTTGTACACTGCCTCAATATCATCAGGTCCAAGCCCTCTCTTCAAGTACTGGCTGAAGTGAGTCTGGTACTTCTCAGGTTCATCTTCTTGCAAGCTCTGCAAAAATCATAAATAAATAAAAAAGATTTTTTGATCAATTTTGCATGCCGTTCTCGCAACAAAGACAAGACACCCATACCCTCATGTATGAAGCGATGTGGCCACCATAGAGATATTTGCGGTGAACTTCAGCATCGAGCTGCTTGCTATCTTTGCTGAACCCAGCAAACCTCTTTTCGCTGTGGGGGATATCAAGTCCACCATCAAGTGCTCCCTAAGTTAACAAGAACAATGCTAATGAGTTTCCCTGAAAGCACAATCAAACACACTTCTACAATGTGTACTTTACAAAGCAGTACATCCTGAACCGTGCTAATGAGTTTCAATTTCCACCTTCATAACTTTGAAATAAGAAATTTATTCTTAAAGTTATGCATATTACAATCATTTCTCAAAATCCACCAATTTGTTGCATTAGTTGTTAAAGAACCTCATAACATCTCATCAATTTCTTCCTAATACTAAATATGATTTCATAACACATCAACTCTACTTTCTTCAAACCATACACAGAACTAGCTTACACTTCTAAAAACCCTTACGAAAGTGTTCTTGATGCTAAGTTGCTAACTTAAAGACGGGAGATTTACATACCTTGAGGGCACCGAAAACACGATTCCCAGTCGTGGTCCTCACAAGACCAACATCAAGAAGGGCACGGAAGGGCCTCCTCTCAGCTGGTTCAACAGAGTAGTCCTCTCCACTAGCCTGTTTTTCATGATTCGAGTTAAAACCTCAATCTAAACTAAGAAAACAACAAGTTGGATAACCAGCTGGAACACAAGAAAACCAAGTTCAATGTTACCTCGACATTTCCTTGGTACTCCTCATCCAACTCAAGCATCTTGAGGACTCTCCGGGCAAGGAGAAGTCCAGTGCAGTAAGCTGCATAAACAAAATAATAACAATGAGCTCAATTTAAATCATAATGGTGAAAACACAGCGTTAAGAAATGGTATTGAAGGCATACCAGCAGCATAATTAGTGTGGCCGACTTCAAGACCGTAGTGGGAGAGCTCGTGAGAGTAAGCAGCGGCCATGACGTGATCTCCAGCAATGGTGGAGTGGATAATCTGAGCCACCACATCTTTGTTCGACTAAGAGAATGCCGTCAAGGGAATCAAACTAATTCAACATCTTTCCAGTCTAAACAAACACAAATCAACCAACCCGCTGAACACTCAAATCAAAAGTAAACTGCAGCAAACGATAATGAACTGCCGCAAAGGATACAAATCGAACAACGAATCGGTACTTCGGAGTGTTATACTTGTTCTTGTCCTGATTAATCAGGCGAATCCTAGCACGATAATCAGTCTTCCCGTCTACAAAGGAATCAAATGGACAACCTTAAAAACTCGAATCCGCCGGAAAAAAAAGCAATATACAAAAACGAATCGAAGAGGAGGTGAAGAACCCCAAGTGAGACTCGTTAAAAGCTTTACCGCGGCGTCTCTTGTACTTGACCTGAAACCGCTTGTAGTATGCTCTGGTTTTCTGGGCTTTGGCGAACGCCTGAGAGTGAGCAAAAAAGAGCAATCGACTTTAAACGTCAGAGATCGGCGATTCACGGGACAGAGAAGTGGAAACGGGGACGAAGCAAAGAACCCAAATGTGAAATTAACTGCCACATTTCGCTTACCATCGCAGAGGCTCGTCGTCTTCAGTACAAAGCAGTGGCGGGAGGTAGAGGCGGGTGACGAAGGAAAGGACGAAGAAGAGTAGCGGCCTTGACAGATTAAATAGCAGGCTAAACCCTAATAAGAACGAGAAAATGGCAAAACCATCATCGAGGGTTCTGTGAAAGGGTTCATCAGTCGAGTCCTTGAAAATATTGATTGATCCTAAAGAGCACTCAATGTTTGTACAGTAGTGTAATTCAGTCCTCACGCCGTCGGTCTAACACGGATCTAACATGCTTTAACAAGTCAAAGCCATATTTATTTTCTATGGGTGATACTGATTTTACTACTAACATTTTGAACTTTAATATCACAAGCAAATTGAAAGAAACCCGCCGCATGCCCGTGTACTGCACACACAGACACCTTTTACTGTACAACGTAATTGAGATTTACTGTTTCAAACTGGCGTGTCTTTCGGTGTGGGCTGGAGTTGGGTGAGGCCTCATTGGGATCTGGCGGGGTTTGGGGGCTCGGTCGGGGTGGGACTGGTCGTTGGCTTCTGGTTGGCCTTAGTTGCGGTCGTTTGGTGGCCCCGGCGCGCGTTGGTCATCAGAGATCGATATTTTACTTTGGCCCGAGCGGGCACGCGGATCGAGGGTTTTCGGTTACTCTCTGGGCGTTCTGTTGGGTAGGGATCGTTGAGTGGTGGGAGATTTGGCGGGTTTGGGAGAGACTGTGCTGGGAGATGGGATAGCTCAGAGATGGTGGGCCATGAGAGGAATTGAAAAGTTGATTGAAAGAAGTTGTGTTGCTCAGTATCTCTTCATTGGGGTCGTTTGGTGGCTCTGACGCGCGTTCGTCATCAGAGATCTATATGCTGCTTTGGCCCAGGCGGGTGCGTGGACCGAGGCTTATTCAGTTGCTTTGGGTGTTCTGCTGGGGAGGGATCATTGAGCGGTGGGAGATCTGGCGGGTTTTGTGGATGTGTGGATGAGAGTGACATGCCTGGACATTGGAGAGGTGGGTCGTTCGAGAAACAGAGGAGGGTTTCCTGGATACAGAGAGATACCTTGACATGCTTTTTCTCTACTGTATGAAAAGACCGGGTTTTGTTGTCTCTGGGAGGCATTGGAAAGTCCTTGCGTTGTTCGACGCTGAGAGAGGCTATTACTGTTTTGTGCAGGCTAAGGCATTAATTAATTGAGAGGATCTGTTTCTTTTCTTTTTCTTCAGCTTGGTGCTTAAAGAAAACTTTGCTTCTCTTTGGCATGTTACTCTCTCGCCTTTTGTTATTCACCTCTCCCGCTCTCTCTCTCTCTCTCCCCCTCGGTGTCCTCTCTGCGTTTGGAATTTTCATCTCTCTTCTTGGGAGAAGGGTGGAATTGAAAGCCACGAAGAAGAAGGTTTGAGAGATCTGGAGGAGATCCAGACCCACTGTGGGACAGTTCAGAGATCTGGAGGAGATCCAGTTTCGCAGGTTTTGTATTCGTCCCAGGTGATTTATCCGTCTCTCTATGTTGAGTTTGCTTTTTTCTTTTTGCAAGTCTCTGAATCGTTTGGATCCTGTGCTTCTGTTTGTAATTGCAGATGGTTAAAAGGCTGTTTTGTGTTCAGTTTGCTAACCATAGTATTTGCCAGTAACCTTTGTTGATCACCATCAAAGTTAAGATGCTCATTAATCAAGGGATTTGATACGTTGTCAGGAATCTCCGATTTATCGAATATATAATCACATATTTCTTTCATCTTTTTGTTTGAGGGATTCTTGGTGATTTCCGGAATCTTAAATCGAGGATTGTTTTATGAGTTGTGTGGATCTAATAGGTTTTTTGTCATTTCGATGAGGATGAAGGGGTTGATTGGATGAGGATTGAGGAGCCAGCCATCTGTTGTTTCCCTACACCAGAGAGGATGAAGAATGCGTCGTCTATTTGCGCCTACTTCTGACCAGTATAGGATATTGGCTGTACAGATCGGCAAGTTTTCGTGAAGTCTTATGCTAAAGGTCGCGTCCACTCCCTGTCTTTCCCTCTATTTTTTTTTCTTCTTTTGCGTTTTAGGTTTGTTGTGAATTGTGATCGTTGTTGTTACGTTACCACCTTCGTGGGTTTCTACGGTTTTTTTGAGTTTGGGCCGGATTTTCTGCGTGGTGCTTTGCGAAGTTGAGCACGTTGCCCACGGAGTTCCGATCCTTTCCTCCTCTTTTTCTGGCTGTATTTTCTCGCATGCCTTCTTCTCTCTCTGGGCTTCTGATATGAGACAGGGATCTGACTCGACACTCCTTGAGAAGAAATGGAAGGTCAGTTGTTGGTGGTGGTCTCGAAACGAGAAAGAACTCAGAGTAGAGAAGTGGCTTCAGTTCCTATCGTGCTTTTCTCAATGTTATGCTTTCAAATTTTTTGAGTGGAAATGGTTCTTGCTAATTTTTTGGGTGCGTTTGGAGCCCACGAGTGATTACGTTCTTCAGTAGGATTAGAATCCACTCTTACTATTTGTTGTCATTCTTCTCTGTAATGTATTTGAATGGTGACCCATGAATTATTGCATGGTGGCAGAATAGGGGTTGCCTTTGCAATTGCTACTATTTTGAATAAATGTATGTATAGAGAATTTCACTTTGGCCCTTCTATGTTTCCAGATGGGGTGCTTTTAACGATAGGGGAGATGGTTACATTTGGAGAGCGGAGGAACAGTCAGAGCTAGGAAGTGTTAGTGTATCTAATGAACCTCTTTTGTACAAAGAAAGTAGCTAAGTTTTTGTGAGAAGGAACAAAAGATATATGTATAATTAGTGTACGTAGTGTAATGGTGTTGTTTATGTATTTTTATGATGTCGGATATAACGTTGATTGCCATGGTGCACATCTCTCTCTCTCATGTCACTTATCTTTTGTTTGATATTTAGCTTTTGCAAGTACAAGAGGTGCACTATTGAGTAGCTTGCGTGTTGAGCTTTTCCAGTGTTGTTCATGGATCATTGGCCAAGGTTTCTATCCGATTATGGGTTACAACGGTTTTAGAATGTAGGCAAGAAAAGAGGAGTAACCAGTTGATGGTGCTTGTTTATTTTAACAAGAAATTGTAGGTGGAAGTCGTGGCTTTAATTTGGAAATTGACATGTTCCAATCTGTTGCCTAATATAGATGTCTGTGGATAGTCATCTAAATATCAGAACAAACTGACCCTAACAGCACCAAATTTGAGGAACATAGCCATAAACGAGGAACCGAGTACAGCCCATGTTCTAAATATACAGCAAGAGCAAACTTTAGTTTAATTGTGTGGCATCATCTGGACCATTGACAATGTTAAAAATGAATAAACAATAACAAACTACGGTTACATGATTAAAGTGTTATCGAATGAAACATTTGTGTTCTCTCAATTTGCTTCAAGCCGGGCGCGTATAGATAAATATAAATAACGGGCCCTCTTTTACGATATGTAAGCAGATATATGAATTGGGCCCAGTATTCTCACATTTAGCCCGAATAGGAGATGCCTTTGTGCTCATATTATTAAGTTTCTATAGCTTTTGGGAAGCCCATTCTATAATTGTTCGGTCCATTATGGGAACAATTGATAGCCCATTGAATATTATATTTATAATTTTATAATGGTTGTGCGAAAACGTTTTAGGGACCAACTTCCACCGCCTTTTCATTTCGCTCTTGATTCTGCTTTTTAACTTCCCCTGTTCTCTGAACTTCTGCTCCCACGATCTACAGTGTTTCGCGACTTCTGGATCAGGGATAGTCGTGTATGCATGGGGTATGCTCGCCGATAGTTTTCCCTTTTGCATTCTGTTTCTGTTTCTTGACACTTTAACAAATTTTTGATCTTCCGTTGTCTTTCCATATCAGGCATCGTTGTATAATGCCGCGTGATTTCAAGCTTCCAACTCTTCCACGAGGTATCGGCTCCGTTGCTTTCTATTTCAAGTTTCTATTTATTGGTTTATGAATGAACACTGCCGAGGTGTAAAGTTTTGGGGGTTTTCTTTGGCTTTCGTTTGCAACAGACTCAATTTCCACATGCATGGTGTTTCGTGGTCTATGTGTGGGTGCTTATACTGATATTATGATCATTCGAGTTCTTAATGTATGGATTGAGCATGGTGATGACTCTCAGGGGCATAAAAGAACAATGCATGTGCTGTGTCTTGACAAAGAGGTCTGTCATTCGTCTCTGTAATGTAATATTTATTGTTTATGTTTGATTTTGTTGTAGTAATGCACTAAATCACATTTAACAGGAACATATGCTAGAGGCCTGTATTGAGGAAAATGACATTCAGGAAATGCAACATAAGTTGAAAGTAGGGGATTTACATGTCCTGGATGGCTTTCATGTTATTCCTGCGAGGAAAAACAGGCGTGTTGTTCCAGCTGAAGTTCGCTTTGTCTTAAGGCGTGAACAGATCATATTTTGTGTGCCTGACAATCCGGGTTATCCCAAGTTTCCTGTCAATGCTTTTCTGAAAACTTCGTTCTCGGCTATTCCAATAGAGACAGAGGCAGTTGTGAATTATGGAGGTATCGAAAGTTGTTTGCACAGAAAGTATTCATGATTATTTGCTTACTATGAATTGAATTGCAGATGTCACAGGTTGCGTTGTTCATCTGACGATTCCAGGATTTCCAATTAATGGTGTTCTTAGTTTTGAGCTCATCATAGAAGACATCAAGTTTCTTGCATATTCTTGTGCTGATTTTTGTTTGTTAGACTCCATGTGGGATTAACTGATCCTTTGTTATTTTGTATAGAGGGGACAGGGCGACAGTGTACTACTCTGGAACTGAAGTTACAAAGTATTTGGAGTTGGCAGGGGAATCTGAAGCTCGACTTCCTCTCATTACCACAGTTACTGCTGTTACAAGGCTGCCAATTACAGATGCCACTGGAGATGCATATGTATTTCGATCTTCACCTGGAAGTCGTCTGATCATTGGTTCTTATAATCACCATTATGAGAAGATCATAAATAGGTATTATTATATTCGAATTCTATGTTTATATATTGACAGACCTGCTTTGTTGGATGCTAGAAAAACAATACGTACATTCTTTTTGTTGTTTAGGTTTATAGGTGATCGAATGCCAGTGACTTATATCAATAGTACTTCTCGCTGCTCTATCGGTTATCTTCGTGGTCTTCTTCCTCCCAAA